AGTAAAAGGTGAGGAGACGAGACGGAACGTGTGAGGTATAAGTAGTACATGTGAGTATGAATACGAACATGTCAATGTGAAACGGGAACTCGTAGGTAATGCTGTAAGCGTGAGCTTACAGTTATGCGCGCATGGAGCGGCCAGGGCTGGACCTCGTTAGGCGCTACTTTTCCAGATATCTCCCAACGGAAGGACGCTCATAAAGCCAGCGTTGGAGAGTCGTCACTACATGAGATACTGTGCATCGAGTATTGCTCAGGACGGTCTGGCGAAGATGACGGCAGGAGCCAAGGACCAAAGTGCCACAACTCGAGATCCCGCCCCGCGCCCGTCGGGCCGCACCCACGTGGAGCGCGTCGCAACGCGGTCATACGCAACGCGCGCGCTTACATCGAACCTCACCTTACACCGCGATGAACCAGCATGCCGCGTCATCATCATCCTCACCGTCCATGCACTTGACATCGCACCCTCTGCTCGACGATGAGCCATCTCCACGTGCCGGTCGCCGTACACCCCGGCGTGAACGGATCAGTGCGACCGAAGCGCCCGCCAGCTCCAGTTCTGGATACTTTAGTCTGAAAGCGCGTCTTGAGAATGATGCTCGTACTGGTTCTGGCAACTGGGATGGATCTGTGCGCGGACGCGGGATTAAAGTCCCAACGCGTGCGTCGTCGACGAGCTTGCCGGGGATGTGGGACGCTCCGGCGTCTACGCCCGTCGTCATGATTGACTCGGCGGCTTCTCAATCGGCTACGAATGACGACGAGTTATATAATGACATAGCAACCGCAGTATCCGGTGGCTCTGACCGCGACGCTGTTGCGCGTGTGATGGCGACACCATGGCATACACTGTCCGATTCTTCGCTGTATTCGGCATTGGACGAACAGGGCCAGCCTCAGTTTGCGGTGTTGCGAACGCTGTCTGCGGCTACGGAACGACTGTTGAAAGTACGAAAAGAGCTGGAGGAAGGTCGACGAATACTACAGGAGAAGGAGGATGCCCGACGGACGCGAGGAACCGCGTTACTGGAAGAGCTACCGCAGAATGAGCGGGATATAGCACGTCGCGTGCTCGCGAGCCTTTTCACCAGCGACGACGAGGAGGGGCACCGCGTCGTGCGGCGGCAGAGCCGGGTTGTGCGTGCCTCCCTTTGTCGTCTGTGGTTGTATAGCAGGCTTAACGGCTTTCGTAGTCGATCGCTGAAACGCTATCCGAGGCGATGGGCGAGGAGGTGCTCTCGACCTCTGTGAAGGACGACCCGACCGAAACTCTGACAACCACCGCTTCGCGAGTAAAGTCTGCGCCAACCGTGCTCGAGACTATCGAGAGCGTTCCTTCGACGCCTATGCCCGACGACGGCGCTCCGGATACAGCCAGACCCGTCGTGGTCCACGAATCCTCAGTGGAAGGGACCGAAATCGGGATACCTGACACCGACGCCTCCACGTTCCCAGAGACGGAAGTCAGCCTGGAACCCGCAAGTGACGCCGGCAGCTTGCCGTCCTCTCGCTCTCGTTCACAGGATACCCGCAGTGTGGTGTCCGCCCGCTCGGAACGATCTACGTCCGGAGTTGGAGAATGGATGGGTACGCTTTGGGGTCGACGAAAGCCGAAGGAGGTGGACACGGAGAGCGAAAGTGTGGCGAGCAAGGACGAGTCGCAGAGCGTCGAGCCGGAACGGACACGCTCCGCTCCAAACATTGGGACGACGACGACTAGCGAGGCATCTTCGACAGATGGCCCAGAGAAGACGGTGAAGGACCGCAAGGACAAAGAACGCAGGAGCGTATTCGGTTCCCTTGGGCTATCTCTCCTTGCCGGCTCTGGTGCCCGCAAGAAGCGCCCAGCTCTTAGCACGGACTTCACGCCACCAGCGTCTGTCCCTCCAAGCGCCGTGGAGTCCACGTTTCCTCAGGAGATCACGTCTCCCGAGGAACCTGTCCCTCCCTCTCTTACTACTGCAACCGCATCGGCGCTTCCTACCGCAACGTCGTCACCTGCAGAGTCGATAGCCGCAACGTCGGCAGACCGCCCGCCACAAGGCGCGACGATCCCGGCGCTTGTCGCCGCTACGCGCGTCATGACCGCCGACGCATCAAGCATCCTGATCGACATTGACGTCGCCCCGTCAATTGCCGAAGGCGCCCTACATCTCATTCAACACGTGCGCGATACTGGGCTCGATGTGCGGAAGGCGGTACGGCCACGACAGCATAAGAGGAAGTCGAGTCTGGCTGCGAAGTTGCAGCAGCTGCAGGTGCCTGGGAAGGAGGAGGCCGGACTCGAGAAGGAGGTCCCGAACAAGAGGTTGGGTGTTGCGGCTACTATGGCGAGCGTGCTCCCTGCATCTGGGTTCGCGAGTCCGCTCCTCGGTTCGTTCTTGCCCCAGCAGAGGCGAGCAGTAGGAAATCCCCCTGCTGCTTCATCTTCCGGTATGTGCTCTCCGTAGAATCTTTGTACGCAACCATCGCTGATGTATATATATATCACAGGCCAAACGCAAGCAACGGATCAACCAGCACCTCCACCCCTCCGCAGCGTAGCCCTAGACGCTATAATCCCAGCCACATCCCGCCCGCCCACTGCATACCTCTCCCGCGAATACAGCGCGGTAACCCTCCCCTCCGCCGCCGCGGCGCACGGCGACCTCCGCCCCACACTCGCCCAACACATCTCGAGCTTCCGCCCCGCGTATGTGCAGCATATGAGCAGCAGCCGCGTGGCGCGGAGCGGCGAGGGCGGCGTGTTGGCTGACCGGTTTGGGTTCACGTATGATGCGGGGGTGTATGATTTGATGTTGTTGATGAGGGCGAGGAAGGCGGGGTGTGCGGCGCCGGCGTGTCTTACCGGGGTTAGGATCGCGGATCGGGAGGAGAATCCTGAGGCGTCTGACGATGAAGACGCCGCAGTCGAGGCGGGCGTTGATGTGGTGCAGGGCCCGTGTGCGTGTAATGGCTCGTTTGAGCGTGATGTTGATGAGGTCAGCGTGGCGAGCGGTGTCAGCGGCAGGTCGAAGAAGGACGGCAGGGAGAAGGAGAAAGACGGGAATGAAGGCAAGAAGGATCTGCACGCCGTGCTCGCGCTCTCATCCGATACACCGCGCCACGTCTGCGACAACGTCATGCACTCCCTTCTCAACGAGCTCAGTGTGCTCCACGACGCGCACCAGGCCTCCCGCCGCAAAGAGTGGGACGCGTTCCTCGCGCAACGTGCACGTGCCACGCAGGCGTCTAACGCCTCGGGCCCGCGACAGGCCGCGAATAACGGTGGATTCCCACGCGGGCTGGACACGTCCGATGCGCCGGCCGACGAGCTGTCGCACAGCGAGGGCCTGATAAACGTCAACGCGCTCTCAACTGCATCGCGGAAAGACCTGACGCGCCTAGCGCGCGCGGGCGTCCCGCTCGCGCTAAGGACAAAGGTGTGGCTCGAGTGCACGGGCGCGCTCGAGATGCGCGAGCCGGGCGCGTTCGAGGAGCTGCTGGGCGCGCCGGGTGATCTGGGGGTTGAAGGCGAGATCGAGAAGGACGTGGGGCGGACGATGCCGCTGAATTTGTTCTTTGGGGGCGACGGGGCGGGCGTGGGCAAGTTGCGGAGGGTGTTGGTTGCGTATTCGCGGTGGGTCGTTCTCGACATCTACAGTCAGATTTAGCGTGCTGATGGGATTGGTGGACAGGCGCAATCCGGGTGTTGGTTACTGTCAAGGCATGAATCTGCTCGCGGCGACGCTTCTCCTGGTTCACGCAGCCGAGGAAGACGCGTTCTGGGCGTTCACGGCGCTCCTCGAGCGCGTGCTGCCCACCGGATTCTTCAGCCCGACGCTCCTCCCCAGCCGTGCTTGTCCACTTGTTCTGCTCGAGCTCGTACGGGAGCATCTTCCCAAGCTCTTCGTGCATCTCCAAGAACTGGGCATCGATCTGCCCGCAATATGCTTCAGCTGGTTCTTGAGCCTGTTTACGGATTGTCTGCCCATCGAGGTGTGTCCCATGCAAACTTGCTAGATATCGAGAATGCTTGCTGATTACCTTGTTGCACAGACGCTCTTCCGCGCTTGGGACGTGCTCATCGTCGACGGCTTCGACGTCCTCTTCCGCCTCGCGCTCTCAATCTTACGCATAGGCGAGCCCGAGCTGCTCGCGTGCGCCTCGGTGCCCGCCGCATATGTCGCGCTCGAGAGCTTGCCAACGCGCATGTGGGAGGCGGATCGGCTGCTGCAGATGGAGGCGGAGTTGAGGAATAGTGTGGGGCATGCTGAGCTGGTGAAGCGGAGGGGTGCTCATGTGCAGGTTCTTGAGGCCGCGCTGGGCGGGGGGTGATGGTTTTAGGGCGTTCAGTACGCTCACATATCATGTGTTCATGATTTCACTTTAGGGTAAAGCATGTATCGGTTCACTCGTGCTACCGTAAGACATCAGGTCTGAATGCTCGCGCAGGTGGCTCCAGGCGAGGTATCGTACAGTATTGAAACTCAGCCGGAGTATTACCTGGCAATTTACCTAGCACCACAATGTTAGCATAGGGTCGAACACACGACGATACCCAGTCAACGACGTACGCGTCTTGACGACGACACCGTCGAGTGCCGCCGCCACGTCAAAGTCCGAGACCGAGCGCGCCACTTCCGGTGGTAGCACGTACGTGTACTCGACACAGGATAAGCCGCCGTGATAGACATTCTGCCAGTCCTTGAAGGGGCTGACCCTGCCGGTGCCGCGTAGGTCTTTGGACAGTGCGAACGGGACTTGGGGCTCGGCTGCACGGCGCGCCACGCGGCGAGGGTGGACGTCTATGAGGACGAGTTGACGCATGGCGGGAGGAGAGGCGTCGTGGACTCTCGCGGACGCCGGCACGTCTAAGTCGAAGTAGCGCCAGCATTCGAACCACAACACCAGCCGCATGCCGGAGGTACTGGCGGAACTGCGCCACTCCATACGCACTGGGATTGGTGGAGGCCGCAAGACCATCAGACGTGCGTGGCCCGCCCATTCCTCCCACGTAAGCACGTAAGAGCTGTCGCGGGAGCGGGGGCTGAGCGAGCGAAGGAGCGCGCGCAGCCCGTTGACGTGGACCAGTAGCAAGATATCGTCACGGGTATATTCGCAGGGAGTATGATGCCAATCCATTGCGGTGGGGCATCTAAAACTGAAGTGCAGATGAAACAGTCGTTCGTCGTCCGAGGTAGCGAGGCCGTCGAAACGGTGGGGATCTCCGTCGACAGAAGCATCGCGATCGAACCATAGGAAAGCGCCCAAGTACTGATCATTGAGCACGGGGAGTTCCAGTATGAAGGACGTAGGCGTTGTAGTACCATTCAGTAAAAATGCTTCGATGTGGAGCTCAGGAGATTGGCCATCTTCAGGGATGAGTGGGGGTTCAGGGTGGGTCACTCTGAGCATCATATCCTCCGCAACTAGCTTTGTACTGCTCATGTTTGGGGCTGGAAATGGATCATCGATGGTCTAGACGTCGAAGTTAAGATTCATAACCTAGCCATAGTCATAAAGTACGGTATGCGCTCACAAGCAGGTGATCTCCCGAGCGAACGTCCTTGACATGATAGCAGGGATGACGATGTGGCGAAGGATATTCACAATAGATGAGTGTATTCCCGCACACTTGCCATGCACGCGTGCAGAATTCCATACTACCGACATTGTAAGTTGTGATGGGGCGCGAAAGACCTAATGATGCGAAATCAAGAACTGAGCAATCCCACTGACTAGCGGTTCGCGACGTGTCAGTAAGTTCCGGCGCACCAACACAGAGTGCAGCTCACCGCCCTGTCTCGTAGACGACTACCATCACACGATGAGCCGAGTCAACCATGCATATCGGAGTCCGCGTGCTATCTGGCAGGGGAATAATCGGCAGTACTTGCGACGACGGCAAAGACCGCGGGCCTCCCAAGTCATGCAAAGACAAGTGCATCATATTATCGGCCATCCGCCGCAATCCAAGCCTGAGACCACCTGAAACCTGTATGGTATCTTCAGGTAGGAGACTGAAAAGCAAGAGTTGTCCGCCCCGACTCCCTGAGCTGTCGTACTCTTGCACATGTGTCAACTTCTCTGATGCCGTGAGTGTGGCGTCCGGCGTCCAGTTCTCCGGTGTTTGTAGGCCCGCCGCGGCCAGCGATACAATATATACTAGTGATTCGAAGCCTGTTGCAATGTAGTTCAGGCGGCGGCACGCCTATTGCTACAGATATCAGGATAGCAACTGGGCTTCGATGCACGCAGACTCACCATACTACACGAGATGATGTCGCGAAAGTTACAAAGTTCGAGGATGTGGACGATATCTTCACTAGGCAATGAGAGCAACATAACGAGGCAAGACGACAAAGTAGCCTGATGCAGATGGCTCGAGCCAATGACAAGATGGTGGTGGTCTCCTCTCAAGCAACACGGAGACGAAGCTGCCGCGATGCTCCAGAGTCCCACGAACGTCTTGCGTTGTTGATCCCTTCGGCAACCCCTCGGGCATCATCCAGAATAGGTACGTAGGGGATCTGGGGATGTGCTTCACTACTGCAGTATACTAGCATGACAGGGAGGATACTAAGGCTGTTCAGAATCCACACCGCCCTAATGCTCAACCACTATTCAGAACTTATACGTAGAGGATCTACCTCACTAACAGTCTACTACAACGGAATCCCCATCTCAACATCGAGTCCATTGCTTGCATACATCGCAATACTTCACACGACATCTATAAAGTTGAAGATGCGGAGCTCATCAGTCGGTTACTAGGTGTTCATTGGCGTTACAAAGCCTAGACAATGATACAGTGGTGTTGTACACAGATGTTGACGAGAAGTACTTCATACGCCCTTGTATGCCTCCGCGGCCTGGTCTCCTGCAATCCTTCCGAAGACAACACACTCCAGCAAACTCGAACCACCCAACCTATTCTCACCATGGATACCGCCGGTGACTTCGCCCGCCGCCCACAAGCCCGGTATGGCCTTTCCCTCTCCGTCTAGGACCTCACTCTTCTCGCTGATGATGACCCCGCCCATCGTGAAGTGTACCACTGGCGTTACCTTCCCTATGTACAGAACCGAATCCGGCTCCACTTTGTCCAGAGTCCAGTGTCCGAAGGCAGCACGCCCAAAGCGATCTGGGCTCCGCCCCAATGCCGCATCGGCATACTCTTGTAGAGAGGGGATAACGTCTGCGCCGAGCTCCGCGGCCGTCGTCTTGCGCATCAAGCCCTTCCATAGATAGAAGCCTAGATGCGTCTGCGCGGCGTTGTACGTCCCCTCGTCTAGAACGACCTCCACGTCCCACTGTTTGACCTCTCCCTCCTCAGGCTTATGCTTTGTGATAGCATTCGTGATATGTTGCCGTGTCTCCATCTCGTTCACGAACCTCTTCCCCTCCATCAACAGGACTCCGCCCTCACCCCTCAGTATCTCCGCGGCGAGAAACTTGAGTGGCGACGCCGGAGCCTTAGGGTCGACGAAACCCGTAGGATGCACTTGCACCATCTCCATGTCCAGCAATTGAGCGCCAACGTCTGTTAGCAGGCTCTGCGTGCCTTCCCGCGGGTCGTTGGTCGAAGGATAGCCGGCAAGATCGGGCCGATAGGTTGCGAGCATGCCGTTCGCGTCTCCTGCAAACCCTCCCGACGCGAACACGACTGGACCATACAATTCCTTCGTTTCGTCCTTGAGCGAGTACTCGACCCCTGTTACGCGCCCTCCCGACTTGAGCACCCGCGTTACTCGAGCTTCAGTTTCAAGCTGAAAGAGGGGATTCTCTTTCAGCGCGTTGAGTAGCGTCATGACGATGCTGGCGCCAACGGTCGACTTTGCGGGGCGATGCGTGCGCGGTACCGTATGTCCGCCCAGTTGCGCTACTACGCTGAGGTCGATCCCCCGCTCATCGTTCAGCCAGTAGATGGCGCTAGGCGACCTATCCACGAGTGTGGAAACCAGTTTCTCGCGCTGCTCTCGCGCGTTCGCGAAGGCAGGCCCGGCGGAACGAATGGTGTCGTCGAGGAACGTGTTGTCGGAGACGCTTTGAAAACGTGTCGGGGCGCCGTTAATGCCCGACGATGCTTTGATAGAGTTGCCGCCAGGCTTCGCCGCGCGATCGAGGATACGGACGGGAACGCCATGGGAGACGAGTTGAAAGGCGGCAGAGAGGCCAGCAAGGCCAGATCCAACAACGATGGCGGCACTAGGCTTCGTGATGGTGGCCATGTAGTGGTAGTAGATGTACGCGGCGATGGGGACGAGAAGTGACAGAACAAGAAGAGAGGGAAGGCGACGATGGGTCATGTTTCCATTGATATTGCGCGACGGACACCAGAACACTCAAGATAACTCAGCATGGCAAGTGATCCGGCTTATCCGATACCAGGCCAGTTCACATCGCGAGTGCGCCAGACCAGGCTTCGCCTGAGTCTGGCCAACACGGAGCGCTGTGGTGGTGAGAGGCAAACTGCGGCCGGCCGCCGTTCGCACGAGGTCGCACACCGGTCGAGTGCGCGGCGCCTCCTGCTGTACCATCATTGTCGACGGCCTGGCTTCATGGTTTTGACTCGAGTACAGACAGACACCAGCATCCCAGGGCCAACCACAAGGACGCGCTAAGCTAGTATACGCGTGATCCAATGTCCTCGTAAATACAATGTCGCAAGTCCCAGATCATGTATGTGGCACCAAATGGGGACCACTATGGTCACCCCCTATTCCTCCGCGACGCTAACCTCCCCAAGCTTGATGCTCGCACTCAAGTCTATGCCTCGTGCGTGCTCCGCGAGAAGGCCGGTTGCGAGCCACCAGCCGTCACTGGCATCTTCAGTATCGTAACCGAACATCTCGCGGTTGTCGTCCCACATCCTCTCCACGACGCCAGTCGTATCATCCTCCGCGGGCGACAACGCATCCTGCCCTGCTGCTGTGCGCCTACGGAACTCTATGTCCCTCTCCTCCGCGGTAGGGCCCGACATCGTGATATAGGAGAGAGATTCGTTCTGATTGTCAGGTTAGGACTGTTGGCAAAGTCGTAAGTGCACATTGGGCCACTCACATCAATCGCTAACATCCTGGCGCAACGAGGGCGTCGTAGTTCGGTGAAGGCATTGAGGAATGATGGTATCTGGGCGTCGTCGAGCGCGTGTGAAAAGAGCTTTCCCAGAGTGGCGGCGTCCTCCAAGCTCATAGAAGGGCCGAAATATAGGCCCCGCTGCGTGTGCGTACAGTGAGAGCTCGTTCAATGATGAAGGCACGGTATACATACTGGTGCAGGGTGAGCAGCCTCACCGATAACCAGCATATGATTGCTAGGGTGAACGCATTCTTGTAAAGGTGGACGAGACACGGTCTTGACGCGAGTCATTGGCGCAAGGCTGGCCAGTTTCCGCAATCTATCCAAGAATCAGCAAATGATTGCGTGATGATTGAACAACTAGCACACCTCGGCTCAGCTTGGAGCGCGGCAACCGCGCTCTCAACGACGCCCGTGTCTGCGATATCACCCCATGGATCACTCGCGCCGTCGTCCGGTAGCCAGATAACCAGCGCGCATTCGCCTTCCGCGTTCTTCGATGACTATTTGAGATTGCTAAACATCAGAAAAAGGCAAACGCACGGTAGGATAGGCCATAGCGGAGCATTGATCCCCAAACCAGAACCAATTTGCGATGCGGGTCTCGCCTACGTCGAGGATGAACTGATGCAGTTCGGGGTTCGCTCTGATCTTATCCGCAGATATGACTGAACTAATTCCGAGTAAGCCGACCGTCCATGAAGAAATGCGCCCGACGTACTTGTAGGTCATGAACCCAGCCTCCTCCTGGGTACGGGCGTGGTTCGGCTCTACGGCAATCGATGACTGTCCGCACACACCGTCTGCACCAACCACGACGTCTGCTGTCAACGTCTCGCCTGACTCCAGGATCACCGAGTTTCCCTCTGCGCCCACTTGCGCCACTCGACACCCAAAGCGAATATCTGCGTTTAGCTCTCTCGCGATCTCGAGCAGCAGTGCGAGTAGTCGATGATGCTGTTAATTAAGATGACATTCAGAAAAGAAGCGATGGTGGGACCGCACACGTACTTCGGTCAGGAAGAATTCTCCTCCAGCATCACGAACCAGATCGCGGACCAATCGATGAGTACCAAGGATCTCTCCTGACCGCACTGCACAATACTTAGTCCAAGCTGACGGGTCAAGTGTCTCTCTCACAGTTGATGAATCCTATTTGCTGCGTGGCGATGCCGATCTTATCTAGCCTTTCACCGTATCCCCACCGATTCAAAATCTACAACACCGTGATGTTAGGTTCGGTGAGATGCGTAGAGCGTGAGGAAACACCTTGGTCATGTTGGGTGGCAAGCGCAACCCTCTCGCGTGCTCAGGCGCCTATCAGCGTCAGTTCAGAAGAAGAACCATGGAAGCTAGCTGCACGCTACGAGTAGAAGACGCACTAGATCGAGCCCATCCATGCTTTCCACGAGAGTTACACGGTGACCGGTGCGCCTCAACGCGACAGCTGCACCGAGCCCAGATACGCCTGCTCCTATGACGATAAAAGACAGCGTATGCGCCGCTTGCTTTGCACCAGTAGCAGCGATGGCTGGCTATACGGGCACGATTAGCACAATACTCTGATGGGGAGCCCCTCTCCTGCATACCCAGCCGGATTCATCGCGAGAGGTCATCGTGGTAGAGAAGACTCAGAGGAGGGATAGGAGTCGCTAGACGTCGTCGTCGTTCGTGTTCAACCTCTGCTCAGGAGAATGCATGCGGCTAATTGGCACGACGAGACCGGGTCAGGTCCAGAGCTCCTAGCGGCGCAAATAATGGTTCAAATAAGGATTTGGAAGTCCAGCGGACCCTTCCCGCCCCCGCTATCCCGATATCGATCAGAGTATCCAACTGTCGGGATCTCACCCATATCGTTAAACCTCGCATGGGCTTGTCGGAGATGGGTGTTCGGTGCAATCAACGGTGGGTGCCTGCAGGCGCTAAACCTGGCGCGTGAGTGACGCGACCACGTGTGTTCTCAGAACACGCGCAATCAAGCCTCTTTTGGTCTACACGAACCGTATACTCCGTACGTGAGGCTCCCCGAGCAGACCGGGGGGCCCTATTCTCCTACTGAAAACGTAGGAGGTATCAATTATTGTCTTACCATAAACTTTTCATCGAGTAGATCCCGCTCCGATTCAGAGACATCGGCGGCTTCAACTGATTCCGGAAGGGTCGTTCTTCTGAAGAGAACGATGCAAGACTGCAAGCGGACCGAAAATGTACACATGGAGGGCGTAGATGTATCTTGCCGAAATACACCCGACAGCAGTGAAGAACCATTACGAGTTCAAACAAAATGACGCGGGCTACGCTTCCCTGGACGATGTCCGTCACAAGAGCCCAGCTCCCACTCATGTTTGACGGAGCTGCCAAAAGCCATCGCGACAAGAAACCCGGCATTACATGTGTAGGCGGAGAAAATGCATGCTATATTGAAGTAGGTCGTGTCGTGATATTCGTCAATGTGCATAGCAATACCGTAGTCACAGTCCGAGTACAATAAGGGAGGCGTAAGTGAAGCCGACATATCCATACAAAGTCAGTCCATGTATCGCAGAGCCGATGAACTAATGTGGAGGATATCCTGCAACGGTGCTTTCAGTAGCTTATCGATATAGACGTGCCGCGGAATCATGACGCACCGAAAGACCAAAACGAAAAGCATTTCACAGAGCAAGTGAGAGCCAAATAACGATATCGACAACTGTACATGAACGAGACAAGTTATGCTTGCCCTGCGTTCTGGTATTTGCGTATCAGGTCGCGTAGTCGCGCCTGACCAAACGCAAGCTCCGTCCTGGGCGCCTTCGCTTCACCGTCTCCGGGTCCAACAATCTTGACCTCCGCGCGACCACTACTCGCCCTTGAGAGTACAGGCGCAGATGCTGGAGTTTCCTCTACGATGGAGGGCGGCATGCGCGGCGTGATGCGGGCTCTCGTTGGTGCTGGCCGTGACAAACTCGCCGTCGAGCTGAGGTGCGGCGCCGCATGAGCAGCAGACGAGCTTACAGCTGGTGCGGCCTTTCCCACGTTATTCCTGAACAATGCCTGCGGCCTCGTCGCAGCGACCTTGAGCTTCCTATCGATCTCCTTCTCCCTATCGGCTTTCTCCGCCCTTGCCGCCTGCTTCCTCTCCTGCTCGGTCAACCCAGACCAGAGAGCTGTAGCAGCTGTGACGCGACCTCCACGTCCGCCACGCGCGCTTCGGATGTCGTACTTGGGAACGTCTTCGACACCGTTGGCCTGCAGGTAAACGGGTAACGGTTTCCCAGCGCTGCTCAACTTGCGTACAACGGCGGGTGGTTTCGCTTTGGATTCAGGGTCAAGAGTTGAGGCTGCTAATGCTGCCTCCCAGCGAGCGCGTACAGGTTTCGCGGTAGGTGTAGAAGTTGGTGAGGGCTTGAAAGCGGATGCCCGAGCCCGCATGGTGGCCATTGGTACGAAGCCGGACGACCTGGGATCCGGTGCACGCTTGGTGGGCTCCGCTTCCGCGGCGGGCGTGACTGGTTGACTACCCTTCCCACTACTAGCGCCAGGCGCTGCTCTGGAGATAATGCGTGATTTGGACTCTTCCACAAGGTCATGCACGACCGCTGCGACCTCCTCGGCGTTTGCCGATCGATCCGCCTCAGCTGTAACCTCATCTGCTCCGATCTTCTGCTGGGACGCTGTGCGATGAATAGCTGCGGCGGCCTTTGCGGCGTCGGATTGCTTCTGAACTCGAGCAGAAGGAGCAGATGACTTGCGTCGCCTCGCAGAAACCTCCGGCTCCAGGTCCATCTCTGCGTAACGGGGACTCGCAGCAGGGCTATCGCTGGTAGGCACTTCAGGAGAAGCCACAGGAGGACTATGCGCGTCGATACGGCCTAGCCACTCCGCTACACGCCCCTTCGCAGCCTTGCGCAGGCGGTGCGCTTCCTTCTCCTTCGCTCCTGGCACCCCACCCTTGTCCTTCTCCCCTTCCTTCACACGCGAGCGCTTCTTAGCTGAACCAGCCGTACGAGGCCTCTCATCGCTGGACTTGTGTGCACGACGCTCGGTGTCCGATTTGCCCGCGCGACGCGTTGTGCGGCGTTCGTCTGATGAGCTTGCGGCGCGATGCGTGCGGCCGTCGGACAGGTCCAAATCGTCGTCCTCGCGATCTCCGTTCACGTTCGGATCAGTCGGCGCAACGGCCCGGGGATGGACAACTTCGTTCTTCTTCTCTTCCTCGCGGGCGCGTAGATGATCCCATACGCCCTCGGCGCCCAGACTCAAGCTCGAGATAACCGAGTCGTTCACGGCTTCGTCACTTTGGCTTTGGCCGGGAGGGATGGCTAGTCCATTGGGCGACGTGTCTAGCGCGAGCGGCTCGTCATCCAAGCCCAGATTACGCACGTCCGTTCGGGTTTGTGCAGGGACTTTGCGCGTGCCGACTTCGGCCAGCAAACGGCGTTCGAGTGCGTCGAGGCCGCTCAGACCGTCGGCAGGAACTTGAAGGGGCGCACTTCGAGGGGGCTTGAGTAAGGACAGCGCCGAGAGCGTTGGTGTTCGAGGTTCGGGTGCAGCATTCGACGCGAAGAGCCGCTGAGCAACCACCGGAGTCGCTCCGGCGTAGATAGGCTTGTCCGTCGGTACGGGAGGGATGGGTAGAGTCTTGTCTTGCGCGTGCTCTGGCCTTGATGCGAGTGCACTGTCGTGCGCCGCTAGCAACTCGGCTACGGTCATCTCCTCTTCCTTCTTGTCCTCGCCGTTAACAGCCGGGATCGCAGCGTCACCGCTCATGTCGCGTGGGACAAGTTCCGCCACGGCCTCGAGATGGGCTACGCGAGCCGTCTTGCCCAGACTGCCGCCCGTAAGAACGTTCGCCAGTGGATCTGCAGGCACGACCATCTTGGGACTGGGCATCGGCCGTGGCGATACAACCTCTCCTGAGCCTGAGCCTGAATGTAAGGATGTAGGCGAGAGCGGTCCGAGAGTAAGAGAGGGTTTCCGGTTCCGGGATTGAACCTGAGCTTGCGTAGGAATGTTGGCGGTAGATATGCCTGGCGAGGCATGCGGAGAATGCGGCGACAAGCTTGCGTTGTGTTGCAGAGGACCAAGTGGCGACGCGACTTCGGGATGGGAGTAACGAGTACTGGCCGGACTGATACTCCGACCGCGAGAAGACATCCGAAGATGATTCGACACCCTGCTGGCTCGCAGCCCCTTATTCTCGTCCCTATGCCTCTCCTGCTCCTGTGCCTGCTCTTGCATGACCTGCAGACTCTCCGAGCTCAACGAGTGCATCAGAACTGGGTGATGAGCGCTCGGCGCGGGCGGTAGGCCCGCGATCACGGGGCCAGTGGCTCCTATTCCATGAATCGGTGCTGAAGGAGGCGGTTCGGCGCTTGCGGGACGCGGTGGTGATATAAGAGGTTGCATTTGTGGTGAAGTCGGAGGGTAGTAGTATGCGTCAGGCGGCGGAGGCGAATAGAGAAGGGCATGTGGGTTTACGGATATGCCTGTATAGGCGGGCATCTGCATCTGCATAGGCGGAGGCGACCAAAGTTGACCAGGATAAGGTTGCGCATACGGAGACATGGCGCGGTCGTAAGGAGACATGGCACGATCGTAGGGGGATAACGCGCGTTCATAGGGGTTGGGCGACATAGGTGGTGCCGGAGAGAGGGGTAAGGCAGGGTATGCCGCAGGGTCGTAGTCGTACTGTTCCGGTTCTGGTAGCACAACCGGGTGATAAATGCTCACGGGCAAGTCAAGCTGTATGTCCTTACTGCATGATAATCAGAGGGAGTTCTTCGACCATGACCGGGATGGACTAACCTGCCCATAGGCATGGCAATTCGTATATTCAGCGTAGCCTGAAGGGCGAAAAGAGCATCTCGTGTGCCGGGCTCAAGATCCCCACCAGGCCGTGGATAAGAGTGAACCGTTCGCGCGCGTGGCGGTACGTCGAATACCAGCGTGGCGACACCTTCCTGTCCGGGAGGCGCGGCATATTCGGCACCCTTGAACGAGACCGTTGCCAAGGTGTCAGAGAGCTCGAGAGGTGGACCTGCGGGACCAGCAGGAGCGGCAGGAAGGTGCAGATGCCGTGTAAGCGAGAGGGTCACGCCGGCTGTCTTCTTCGCCGACTGGTTTTTCACATGTAGCTGAACGCAAGCGCTCTCTCCTGCAACGACCAGTCCGCCGACGACCTCTGCTTGAACCCATATCTTGCCTCCTTCGCCGACAATGACGCCCTTCGCTTCTGAGGCATCCTCTTCCTTATATCCCTCGAGCAATTCAACCTCCTCTTTCACACTAACAAGCCTTCTTTCCCCCTTCCACACGACGCCCACTGTCGCCCGGACCTCGTATTTCACACGCGCCAATCCGTTGCCGAAGGCGATAGTCCCCGGGGCATCTGCAGGGACCGGAAGCTTGAAAAAGAAATTGCATCGTCCTTTTCGCGCAGGTAGGTATCCGGCAGGCAGAGGTGGTTCACCGGCAAGGGGATGCGGTAGAACAGCGTTGGAGGGCGGTACACCAGGCCCCTGATATACACGTCTGGATCGCATGAAGACGGAAGTAGCCGAGTGATCGCGGGATGTGAGCTCCTCAATGGCGACGAGCTCGACCATTATTACGCCCAGTCCGAGTCCCTTGTCTGCGCGAGATTCGAGCTCCATCTTGCCAGTGATCGCACCACCCGCGACATAAAGTCGCTCGCTGAAAGCCAAAGCGACTTTCACTTTCGGGTGCGACGAGGAGGCATTCATCGGCTCAGCCCGCTGCTGCTGATGGCGGGGCTGCATAGCCGCCATATTGAGATAGAGACTGTGGTGGGCTTGACGACAAGAAAAGTGCAGCTATAGCAGGATATCTGAGCCCAAGAAGTTGTAAGGCTGCAGTCGTAGATGTGACAGCATAGACATTATTCCCGAAGAGGAAGGCGGATTACGCAGAGGGAGACATGGCAGAAGCCGCGAAAGATCGTTTTGGGTTCTCGTCGTCGTGAGCCGCGGCCTCGAGCGCGGCGCGACTGCCGCGGCACGGGGTTAGGGTTACACATCATCGCGGACGGTCCTTCGCAACGGGCTTGCGTGCCTTGTTCGTGCCCTTCATGTACGCCGCAAGACCTCGGGTCATCCTCCCTGTAAACCGACCTCGCCGCTTGTGCAGGCTACAGCAGTGATATACAGGGTTCATGCCCGTGTGTGTGCCGAGATCTACCCCAGCCTTATAGATTAATGCAACTCTCAAAGTCAATTGCGGGTCGGTTTCACCCCAAGGGCACAAGCGCTTATGACATCTGAATGGAGTATCTGATGCTTACGCCTACCTGTCCGCCGTCGAATTCCCGGTTTGCCTACTTTGGAATTGTAGACGCCGTTGTTCAATCTCCTACGCCTAGTGCATCAACACTGCGCCTTTCAAAGTCTCGCTAGTGGGTTTTCCAATAGTCTAGAGCATCGCCGGTTTGATCTTCGTGCCGTATAGTACCACCACTGACATCAAGCCGGATCTCTTACAAGGTGCAGGCCCAGGACCCAGCAGTAGAATTTGCACGTCACGGCCTCAAGGCGTCCTCATCGTGTTCTGGCAGGACCCAGGTACTGCCTCGTTGTCGACGCCGGACTCGAGATGGGCGCGGCTTGTAGAACCAGCATACTCCCCTTCAAGACGTTGTCAAGACGAATTCATACAAAGTGTTCCATGCGTGCTTGGATCTGCTCAATCCACACCGGAACAGCGCAGTCAAAGGGAGCCCCTTCGACTCCAGATTTCGACCGCAACATATAGCGCCGGCATCCCCCGCCTCAGGCACGCCGAGACTAAACCCTGAACGTCGCTTCGCGCGCCGCCTTGAGGCTTCTGGGAAAGCGACAAGCAATTTATTGGCCCGTTATTGGCAACAGCCACCAACGTAGCGCCGCTACGAGCCGCCCTAGCGTGCTGATGTACATATGGCGGACCCCAACGCCGCGCAAACACTCTTTCTCCCCCTTCTTCCTTCATCTCGTTCCACCACGTCGACGCCCTTCGTCGGACCTTCAATTCTCCCTCTAATCGCTCCCCATGTCTGGCACTAGCGCGTCGGCCCACCCGGTACGCGTCGATCATCGGGCTCACTGCCGTCGTAAAGCTCACGTACGACCTATATTGCGGAGCAGCCAGAGCGCAAGGCGTTCCTTCAAATCCATTTCGTGGTTGTGGGCGGAGGTATAGCTGGTCTTTCTGCGGCTGTCGCCCTGTGTCGGGTGGGCCACCGCGTCACGCTTCTCGAACGAGATGAGGACTTTGATCAGGTATGTATTGGTTATGTGCCTGGTTGCAGCTCCTGCCCCGTTTGACGCTGCGCAATGCAACATCGATTGGAAACTTGTTTATGCGACCGAACACTGACGCGACCGCACAGAAGCCGACGACTGTGCGGGGCATCCGCATGCCGCCGAACATGACGAAAGTGCGCCTCCTTTGTACCGGTGCAACTTGACCTTGCGAGTGCTAATGATGTGGCCTGAAAGATTTTCAATCATTGGGGAATGCGCCCCGTCATTGACGAGATCGGGACGGTGTCGGGCCAGGTTATCATGTCCCGAAGTACGTCTTCCCGACATCCACCCTGCAGATTGATTGTGCTTAAGCTCGCGGCCCTTGTAGTCGAAGACTCACGGACACTCGGAAAGCACGTATGGAACCACGAGATGTTGGAGGAAGCGGGAGGCGAATTCATCTTTCTCAACGTAAGCGCCATGCCTCTCTTTGTATGCGCGCATCATCCTGACAGACTGTCACTTTACCTTCTGTCCAGTACCATGAACTCCGACAAGTCCTCCTGCGAGCCGCTAAGGACCTAGGCGCCGATATCCGTACGGGTTCCGACGTTGCCTCGATAACTGACGACGGGCGATACGCGGTTCTCAAAAACGGCGAGCGCGTCCATGCGGACGTAATCGTTGGCGCCACAGGTCGGTTGGGCCTTATTCGCGATCTCCTGGCAAGCGATCAAGAGTTTGACGACTCTGGGAAGCCCAGAGGGCTGATGCTGTTCGAGTGAGTAGTTTGGGTCTGTATCGACGCCTAGCGCGGTGACTGACTGGCGCCGCATCAGTGCTGTCGTACCAGCGTCAAAGCTTCGCGCGGATCCCGAGCTGGCGACACTATTGCAGGAGGAGTTCGTGAGTGTATTATAACGCTCTATGTGTGTACGCCAACCCCTTACGCCGCCGTTGAGCCACAGAGTACGCAGTGGGTATGGTTCGGCGACAATCACTGCGCGCTATCTTGCCATCTCGTGAGCCGCCCCTACTTCCGATCCGCACGCCTTTATTGATGAAGCGCTCGATGCGCCCACATGATAGAGTCGGGATGATGATTTTGCATTTTACCTCTACGTCCCCGACGATGGCAAGACGCCCGAGGCGAGGATCAGGACGGCCCCCTCCGAGGTGATTAGCGCCCATGCTGTGAACTTTGAGCCTCGGTGCGTGTAGCGGGTCTTTCGCGTCGAGGACGCTACTAACGACCACGCAGGGTACAAAGGCTTGCTGCCGCCTCATCGGGTACATGCGTAAAGCTTGTCACTCGCGATGTCCTTGAGACTTGGGTTCATAGCAGTGAGCGGTTACTGGGCATCGGTGATGCCGTCCACCCCTTCGTGGTACGTTCTTCCGCTTCTACGCGCGTAGACAGGCCATAACTGACGCGCGTGCCTATAGCCTGGAAGTATTCAAGGCCCCTGTATGTCTCTCGAAGACGCGTCCGTCCTGGCAAAACTTTTCTCCCACCTACTCGAGGAGGCTCAGATCCCCAGCTTCCTCTACGCCTTCGAAGAGATTCGCCGCGAACGCACCATTAAGATCAACAATGTCGACAATCAGAACGTCGACTTCATGACCATGCCCGCAAGCGAAATGGCCACCATGCGTGACAACGCTATGGCCGCTACATTTAAAGCCGGGCGCAATGCGCTAGACGCTGATGAGGGTGACGATGCGTCCTCGCAGTGGACGGAGAACCGCGAGATCTTTGGATACGATGCCGAGGATGCCGCAAACGAGTGGTGGCAGACCTGGGGACTTTTGCGCCTACGGGCCAAGGGTGCGCCGCAGCTCGCCGAGCTCGGGGGTATCGGAGGCGTCGCCGTTGCGCGGGCGGAACACTGAGGTTAATGGAATTTCTTTACACTATATGCTGTCGTCTTGCATCTTGTTTTCGTCCGCTATGATGTCCCGCATGCACGCCAACTAATCAGACATGGAACTTGTATTGGATTGTACACGCACGCGGAGTGTAGAGGCCGACAGTCCGAGATGAGAGGCAGAAGCGTGAAGGCAACGTGAAGGGCGGCAGTCAATCAGCGCTCAGCCCCGATTGGGTAGCGAAGGTAGCACTCACATCGATGACGTAGTTGATGCTCTTGTCAGGCTCGTCACGAACAGTACGAGCGCTCTCAGAGCATCGACGCGCGCGCAAAGGTCGTTCGTGGGCCATACTCTACGAAAGGGACGCAACCAATCAGATGCTAACCCTAACCCTGATGCACGCGCACGCGCCTCCAGCATATCGTTATTCATCGACGATGTAGTACTGCGCTCGCTGCCGTCCGGTGCTTCTATCATAAGAGTCGTGATTCATTCTGCCCAGCAGGTGCGTCGTCTACAATAATACAACAGGTATGGCACATACAACAGACGAATGAGTACACCGGCATAAGCCGTGGAGTCTCAGATGGTGTGTAAGATCAGCTCTGCCGCCTCTAGGGAGCGTGGTTTCAGAGACACTTCGAAAGGCTCTGGGGTTCTGTAAGGCCGTGCGTTAGGTCGCTGATACGTTTCGAATGATGAATCGCGCACCCTAGGATACCGCCGGAGTACTTGCCGCTGGGTTCAATCACCCGACCGTACTCGTCGCGAGGTTTCTCTATGTCGAATGTCGCTAGCAGCCCCGCCATCGTGATCCAAACAAAGCCATATGCCATGAAACGACCTGGGCACATCCGACGGCCGAAGCCGAATGCGTGATCTACTGCGGCATGGGCGCGAGGGTCCAGGTTCGGGTCCAGGAATCGCTCCGGTTTAAACGTGAAGGGGTCGGGGAAGAGCTTCTCGTCATGGCAGATCGCCCAGCTGTTCCCGAGTATGATCGAGCCTTTCGGGATGAAGTACCCCTTATAAACATCGTCTTGCGCGGCTACGTGGGGGATCGCTACCAGGGATTCATGGCCGTGTTGGTTGCAAGCAGAGAGATACGAGCTCACCAAAGGGCGCAACCTGCTGCCACCGGATGGTCTCCTTCATCATAGCCGTGACATATGGCAAGTCTTCCTCGTCCTCGTATGACGGAAGACGCCCGTGCCCTACGGCGTGGTCGATTTCGTCGCGCGCACGTCCCATGACATCCGGGTAAAGCAGCATGGCGAGCAACCATGTCCGCAAAGTGTTCACGCTCTGTTCTTCATGAGATGCGCGTCGACTTTGCTAGATGTGCGGCCTACCGTGTCCGCGCCGGCTGTATAGAGGGTCGCGGCAACGTTTCTTGCGACCATTTCCTGATACTCACGATCCCCTGCTCCTTTCTGCGCGCGCTCGTCGATGGCGCTTAATGTCAGAGAACTAAAGGAGGGATGCGCCGTGCCCTTCAGCATCTCGCCCTTGGTGAATTCAAAGGGAAGATCACGCGTAGCCTCGAGAGTTCGGCGCCACTTGAGGGCTTTCCGTTTGAACCCCGCCCCCGGCATCCAAATAGGCATATGCTTGACTGCCGGAGATCAGCGGCTAGATAAGGGAGAATGCACTTGATAACGCACGGAACGGAAAGATGTCGACAAACCAAGCGCCAGGGGCACCCGCCTTGTCTACTAGCTGAAGGGCCAACTCCGACTGGCGGATGTAGAAATTGTCGGGCGAGTCGGCCTGTATACCGTAACCGACATCGAGTATCACGCTACCTGCCATCCTATGCGTTGATCAGCGACAGAAGGGTCACAATGACAATGGTACTGACAGAGCCAGATGATCTGTCCAGCGCTCCGGCTGTTCGATCAGGTTACGGAGCAGCAGATGAGAAGCCCGGAGCTGCTTTGGACGGAACTGGACAACGGCAGCGTGGGAGAAGTGCTGATGGAACAATCGGCGAGCGTCCTTCCAATACTGCCCATACCCGGTGAAGCCGAGCGAATACCCGAAGCCCATTCTGTGTACAGCATAGCGTGTGAACATCGCGCTAAACAGAGGCACATCGAAGGTACACACAATTCACAAAGCATGGGCATCCGCGGCCTTCGAGAGTTGGGTCAGCGCCCGGTCTACAGGTCTCGATAGGCAACGCACCTGTCAGAATATATGGCCGACCGCTTTTCCAGCAGGTCGTCAGCCACCGTCTTCGTGTTGAGAACAACAAGATGATACCCGAAGACGGATACGTGAACGATGTCAGACCCTGTGTTACGGTGAATGATTGTAATCGCAATGATAAATGCGGGCCGCACCGATCTCTTCGCCAATTTCTTTGAAACGTTTATAGAGGAAATGGGATGGGATGTCGAGCAGGTTGCCAATAATGGGATAGCCCTGTGTATTGAAGTCAGTGCTGCATATTACCGACGATGACTGTGGTTCACATGCCTTGGGACCAGGAGGATATGGTAAGTCAGCTGGGTTGCGTCGGCGTCGGTTGATGTGTCTCTGGACAGCGAAGGCTGCAGACAAGAGCAGGACCAAGGAAGCGCCCCGCAGCCCAAGACTCATCGTCATGTTGACTCCCCGGAAATCAGGAGAAGGGACAAGTGGAAGTGGACCGATGGCCGTTGGCCGCTTTGCGAAGTCGTTTTGGGAGGGGAAGGACGCCGATGAGGGTCGGGTAGCCGGCCAGCTGATATATGGCTATAGCAGTGCCCATTCGTGTGGCTGCCTAAGTAGTCTTTACGGTGTCCTTCGGGTTCTCGTTCCTGACGAGAGAACTTCGTCGACGCCGGTGTTTCGGCCCAACGGATCGAAGACCCTAGGATGCCACGACAGCCTTGAGGATCACGCTAGATCCATTCATACATCAACTCTTGTGCATCGGAGCGAGCAGCGCGATTGTGACAGCTAGCGGTACACAGTAATGCGGCAAAGCTGTAGCAGAGAAGATAGTCCACTGCCCATCGCCCGCACCCTTCAAGATCTTCTGCTGTCATGACCCAACACGAACAACCGGCGTCTACTAGGCCGCACCATCACTCTTCCGCTCCTTCACCGCCCATGATGCAAGACATGCCGGTCATGCTGCATGCTAGCTTCTCGCCACTAGCGCGCATGTTGCCAAAAGCAATCATCGGTCAAGTTTATATCAGGCTTTGGACCGATCCGACGCGGCAAGGGCGTGCGCGCAACTCCGATACGAGGTGCGGGTATGAAAACGTGGCATGGTCGGTACGGAGCCGACGTATGACGGGCAGACGAGCGTGCTCAACGAGCACGCGTCGAACAGAACCGATACAGAGTGATGATAATATCGAGATGCAGCGAAGGCACGGCGGTGATGGCGGGTGGTAAAGCCTTTCCTTTCGCTCAGGCGTCGATGTGGACACACGTGGTGGCGCTGCGCAAGGCACCAAGCCGTGACGCCCCTTCCCACAATGGAATAAGGCCGTTTGTGGAGACTACAGGATTACACAATGGATACGGAAGGACGGGCTCAGACTCGTGCTTCAAGAGTCTATGTAGAGAACTCGCGGGAAGATGTATGGTAGTGTGGTACCAGGACGTGTCTATTGCCGACGGAGATCGGCGGGGCGGCATGCATACAGTGATAGCCATTGCAGTACTCGGCATATGTGTATATATCGTGTGGGCTCGTTATCTGGCGTTGAGGCATCCTCTCTTGGAATGTCACCGATAAGTCAAGTTCGTACAGGGCAAGACTCTGTACCAGGTAGCGAGTAGACACTCGAAATACGGCGATGATGCGTCAAGACGCAGATCGAACGAGCAGTTCAGCTTCATGCGACCGAGGCTTGACCACACAGTCAAACTTCTCCGGAGCCCTGCATTCCTGTTAGTCAAGCCCGAGGTGTAAATTGGATGGACGTACGCGAGGATGCCAGGCGAGTACGCAGCTGTCGGCTCAATGAACTCTCCACTCTGATCCCGCGCCTTCTCCAACGTAAAGGCCGCTAGCACGCTCGAAATTGTGATCCAGGTGAAGGACTGCGCCATCCAGCGACCAGGACATACACGCCGCCCAAAGCCGAAGGCGTAGTCGACAGCTTCTGTGACCGCAGGGTCGGCATCGGGTCCGAACCGCTCGGGCTTGAAGGAGAAGGGGTCTGGAAAGAGCGCTTCGTCGTGGAGCAACGCCCACGCGTTGCCCAAGACTATGCTATTACGCGGGATGAAATAGCCGCGGTAAACATCGTCGGCGGAGACACGGTGAGGGATAGCTAGCAGCTTATCAGTGAAGATTGCGTATCCTGCACGAGGGCGACTCACCGAACGGTGCGACTTGTTGCCAGCGAAACACTTCTTTCACAAGAGCCCCGATATACGGCAGTTTCTCCTCGTCGTCGAAGGTGGGCAGCCTGTCAGTTCCAACGACTCGGTCCAGCTCTTCTTGAGCCTTCGCCTGGGCGTCCGGGAACTTGAGCATGGCGAGGAAGAACGTCAATATCAAGGATACCGTCTGAAAGCCAGTCAGCAAGAGGACCTCAGACTGGTCGCTGCGCAGGCATCTCACTGTATCTGCACCAGCTAAGAACCAATCAGCCCCAATCCATGAGGCACTGAGTGGAAGACGTAGAGCTAACCTGTGTACATCGTGCCCGCCAGTGCCTTTATGAGGGCCTCTTGATACTGCCTATCGTCCTTCTCGGTGATATCTCTTAGGGCTATTGATACGAAGGATGGTTTGGCGGTCCCATCGGTCATGCCGTTCTTGACAAAGTCGAAAGGGATGGTCCCAAACTCATCTGCGACGATGCTCCATTCGCGTGCTTTGCGCTTGAAGCCGGCACCCGGCACCCACTCGGGCACGTACTTCACTGGTAGCACCGCAACATGAACGACGATCAAATCGGAGGACGTCAGATCACCCACAAACTGGCAGAATATCTACGAGGAAAGCACCGGGATTGCCCTGCATAGAGATATAGTTCAGAAGCCGACTCGAGAACCACATAAGCAAGATAAGAACGTACCGCCTTGTCGATGATCGCCAGTGTTTCTGCGGCGCGCCTGATGTACGGGTCGTCGGCCGACTGGATATCAAGACCATAGCCAACGTCGAGGATGACACCTCCAGCCATCCTATTGGGGATGAGCAAAGCCGGAGGCGAACAAGAACGGGACGCACAGTTGCATATGTTCATGGAAGTGCTTGGGGTCGTCCAGTAATCTATGTAGGAACTCGTGGGCGGCCTTGAGTTTCTTCGGCCGAAACTGGGCGACGGCAGTGGGTTTGAAGTGCTTGTGAAACAGCGCGCGCGAGTGCCTCCACCACTCGTTATACGGAGTGAAGCCGAGTGACCAGCCGAATCCCATCCTGAAAGGCTATCAGTGGCTGTCGACGAAACCAGGTCTTGTTGAGCTTACAATTCACAGAGCATCGGCATGCGGGGTCTTGCTGCAAGATCAACACCTGTACTACAGCGTATGTCAATCACTCACCGGTCTGAATAGATCGACGACTTCTTCTCAAAGAGATCGTCCGCCACTTCTTTCGAGTTGCACACAATCAAATGAAACCCGAAGACCTGCAGGTGGATGATATCTGAATCTGCGCCAAGGTTAGCACCAAGCTTCTGAGCTCCGTACGAATGGCGCACCGAGTTCCCGACTCATTTCTCGGAAGCGCTTGTAAATGAAGACCTTAGGGATATCGAAGAGATTGCCGATGATGGGATAGCCGGGAGGACCTGGTGGGTACGGCAGACCTGCCGGGTTGCGCTGTCGATTATCGAGGTAGACATGACCTATGTAGGCCAGTACAATGATGCCGGCGAGAGTAAGAACCTGTTGTATTTGGAACATGCTCAAGTAGGGTGCACCCGAAAGCCGGCGTCGAGGCGGGCGGGCTGTTATACCGCTATAAGTACTGCACGCGGAGCGATCAGCGTTGTTTTTCGGGACAGGACACCAATCAGTCTCGCTGCCGACGAAGGTGTAAATGATTAATACACTCAAATGGGCAGGTACATTGACTGCACTTCAGCTTACTGCACCTCACTGGGCGCAAGTTGACAGCCTGTCAATGAGTAAGTATTCGCGTCTACAGTCGCGACACGCGATGGGCCAATGCTGGGCGCTAATCTCGCTACTGCGGTCCATATTCCGCGCACTGAGATTGAAGCACTCAGAGTGGTATAGACGTCTCAATATGGACGGCACGCATGGCGGGAGGGAGCAAGATCGCTGCTGCGTAACCACTTCGTGAGCTGGCGGCGGCCGTTCCGGCCCGTCGGCCGCATCCCTGACAGCTCCGCGCGCGCCATGCGGGCTCGGACAGTTCTCTCTTCCGACGCGCATCACGCCTCCTCTCCTTCTCGGATGCGAACCTGTAGGCAACTTGAACACAAGGATCAAAAGTGTGAAGCTATTATCATCACATAATCTTGTACTTAAGTGTTACTTACAGTTGATATTGGGGCACATACGGAAATTCAGAGAAACTACGCATGAGGTTGAGCGCTTTGTGCAAAGATAGAAACCCGATAAATAGCATACCTTGCGCGTGGCAGGTCACTAATTCTGCAAGAGCGTACTCAGCGCAACCATTGGCTTCACAAGCACCGTCGCTTCTCCCTGGACAACACGTTGCAGACCGAAAGCTGTCGTGCAAACAACATCCGCCTCCCCGAGTACGACTTCTCCCTGAAACGCTGCCTCCATGCAACCGGGCTCAAACGGTACACCATTGCGACATGTGGTGGACTCCATCCATCCTTTTGCCACCTTCTCGCCGAGGATGGTGTCCAGATCCAGTAGAAGACGGCCGATATCTACAAGCTGTGTTTCTGCCATGGAAAGGACTCGGGCGGCGTTGGCCTGGATCTCGAAAGTGGGCTCGTAACCAGCAAGGACGATAGCCTCACTCAAATACATGGCTATTCGTCCAGCTAGCTCCTTATCCGTGATGTCGGACATGCCCTGACGAGCATACTTGTGCGTCAAGGAGTACCAATGCCGAGCCACATGGTCTTGTTCTGTTTGCGGTCAGCGATCCCTCATCTACGCGATGTGTATTAACTTGCTTACCATTTGCCTTCAAAATTTGAAGTACGGAATCAAATCCCGCAAATTGGCTGAACGCCTCCGTTGACAAGAATATGCGTGCGATATCAACCAACGTAGCTTGGAGACCTATCTGCAAGGCCGTCGTGGGATCGACTTGAGTGTGCTGTTGCAGTATACGTCCTGCGCCGCATTCCTCTATATTCGCCAGCGCATTAGGATGTAAAGAGGCTAACAACCTAGTGGACGGCTTGATACGAGGGCGCCCTTCGTATGCATCGGCTAGCAGCGTTGCAGTCTGTGCCACTTCATAATTCACGCTTTGGACAAGCTCGATTATGTGCGAGTCGGTGATGGACTCAGCCGCGGGGAGCAACGCATTCGCCGCATCCAGTTCAACAGTGCGCTTCGCAAGAAGGTCTTCGGCCGCGAGGCGCTTCTCTCGCTCCTGACGCAGCGCGTTTTCGCGCTCGGCTAACTTCACAGTTAGAACATGCAGCTGCTCTTGTAGGAGGCGAGCGTTATCGCGCTCGACCAGCAACTCCCGTTCGCGTGCCCGCGCTACCGCCACGACCTTCTCCAGGTCCTCTCTTGTTTGCAAGAGGGTAGAGCGATTCGTCTCGTAAGCCCGATATACTTGACTGTAAGTCGGCCTCTCCCGGTTGCTTGTGTGCGCTTCTGGCATGTCTTGCTGATGCACATTCAGGATGTCAATGTTGGACGATAGACTCGCCGACTGCATACCTCGTCTCTTTGTACTTCAGGCTGACCTACAAATGTGTCCACGAATGCGCTCAAGATCCTCAGCATACGCAGAGCGGACGCACGGAGTGCTGGTGAGAGGTGGTGGTCAAGGGGCGACTCACAAACGGCGAGCCCTCTTTCCCGATGAGTCTTTGTGCTCGTGTACACGTGGTCCATCAATGCCCTACAACGCGTGTATGTGCTTCTTTCCTCGTAGTGGCATGATCGCATCTGATAAGCGCCAGACAGGAGGCTAGACGTCCAATTGTGGCGCCGTGCACACGGCTTGAAAGGACGTCTTCCTGATCCGATAACACGCTGCCACCTTCAGGCCACCGCGCCGTCTGCGCTTCTTTGTGCTATGCGCGTATAAAGGCGTCCCGATACCTCTTCCGAGTCCTTCTCGCCTGTCATGTCCAATCGTAAAGCGTACAGCGGCTCTCAACGCCGCCTGGTTCTCGCCCTTGACCTCGGTACCACGTTCAGTGGTGTATCTTTCGCCATACTTGATCCCGGGAAGGTACCCAAGGTTCACACCGTTTCGCGGTATGCCTGTAGCAATCTTCTTCGCTCCCGATACTACTCACCACCTTCTATAGGTATCCAGGACAGGAAGCGGGAGATGCAAAGATCCCGACCGTCATATACTATGACAAGCTCGGCCGCGTCGTCGCAGCTGGCGCCGAGGAGCCTCAAACAATGGACGATGGGTCCGACTCCGAAGATGGGTGGGAGGATGAGCCGCTGAAGTTGGAATGGTGAAATATCCCGTCCTTTGTCCCGAATTCCTTGCCAATCGCTCATCAGGTTTAAACTACTTTTGCGGCCGCAGTCTGCATCGACAAATGACACGCCTATTCCCGTGCCGCAACTTCCCGCCTCGAAGTCGATTGTCGATGTGTACGCCGATTTCTACGGCTACTTATTCAAGTGCGCGCGTACGTTCATTCAGCAGACCTATACTGCACTTGGCGAACTTATGTGGGAATCGGTCGAAACCGACATTCACTTCGTTTTGACTCACCCGAATGGTTGGGGTGGTTCTCAACAAAGCGCAATGCGTCGTGCTGCCGTGCAGGCTGGCTTAGTGCCCGATGGTCCCAGCGGACATACTCGTATCACCTTCGCGACTGAAGGCGAAGCGAGTTTACACTACTGTCTCGCAAGCGATCATGGGTCAACCAACATCCAGGTCGGTACAAACTCGGATCATTACGCCGTTCGGGACTGAGACGCAAGACATAGGCCGGGAAGAAGGTCATGATCATCGATGCCGGTGGTGGTACAGTTGACATCAGCACGTACGCGTTCAAGTCTACAACTCCTGTCACGATTGAGGAGATCGCTATCCCTGCTTGTAGGTCCAAGATAGTCTACGGTCACGTCGTTTTGAAGTCAACTCCTCTTTAGGCCTGCTACAAGGTTCGGTCTTTGTCCGCAAACGCGCTGAGGATTACATACGCGGTGCGTACACCCTTTTGCCTCTCCTGTCCAAATGTGTCTGAAAGCTTGGTGAATTTCAGCGAAGCTTAGAAACTCTGCTAAGTTCAGCGGAGACGTGTACGTACAAGCCATAACGAATGAATTCGACAGAACGGCCAAAAAACGATTCAAAGGGACGTCAGACGCAAGCGTGAAGTTCAGCAACCTCATATCCGACCGTGATCAAGCCGTTGGCATTCGTAATGGGGCGATCAAATTGACCAAGTAGATACTTGAAATGCCCAGAATCTTTCATGCCCTCTACTAATGATTGCGGGATTATAGGGAGGAATTGAGCGGATTCTTCGATCCAGCTGTGACCGCCATTGTTGAAGCCGTGCTTTCTCAGCATCTCCAAGCGTCTCCCCAGCATGGCCAAGTTCAAGTTCAGTGGTGGCCATGATCATCCCCGATACTAGAAAAACTCAACCAGTTATCAGACACATTTTCTGGTCGGCGGCTTTGCCGCAAGCGAGTATCTCTACGAACAGCTTCAAAAGCAGCTCAATGGTGACGGCCTGTCATTGTTTCGCCCAGACGCGCACACGTCGGTTGCCCATCCACTATCATGATTTCATACTGATGGCTTGTTCTTCTGATGCAGGAACAAGGCCGTGGCCGAAGGCGCCGTCTCCTTCTATGTTGACCACTTCGTGTCCACTCGTATTGCGCGATTCAACTACGGCACCAATTGCAACAACCCTTACCAGCCTGAGAAAGCTAGTCACAAATCCCGTGCGGATCTTGCATATGTTGGCGTGGACGGTGTGCTAAGATTGAACGAGTTTTGGTACGATATTTTGGACAAGGTCCGTAACAGTGCTTCTAGCTTTCGTCACCTATGCTGCTTTGCTGAATACAAGAAGGGGACTAGTGTATCGGAAACGACAGAGTTTCGGAAGAGCCTCCGATTCATGCAGGCTTCGTGCCCTGGCCAGGACGAACCGGTATCCACGACGTTTTACGCGCATCCTTCTGATACCGAAGTCCCTGAATTCATCGATGGTGCGTGTGAGAATATAATCCTGCCTACTCTTGCCTGATGACCGCCGACCACCCCGCAGCGTCATTCTCCGTACTATGCAAAGTAACGGCTTCTCTGAACGGTGTTCCCGTCTCGCATTCGCGCGGACAAAATGGGCACTTCTATTATCAGAGAGCGTATGACGTTGTGCTGTCTTTCGGCTTGACCGAGCTGAACGCGCAGATCGCTTGGAAGGCGAACGTGAGTCCTCATACTTTTATCATGGGTTGGAGCTAGAGCTTGACGTACTCTCTTGTCATTAGGGTATTGAGCAGCGGTAAGCTAACTCATGCATCAGTGAATAACATGCACTGACGCATTTTGCTGATTGATAGGAGTCCTGCGACAATCATCTACGATGATGACTTCGCCGTAACGGTGGCAGGGCCATGAAGTGTACAACCTGTGTGACGCTTGAAAACTCAGTTCTATCTTTGTATAATGACTGTCCCATATCGCGTGTATGCTTTCTTCGCCGATCTCATTCTTCTATCATCTTCGCCTTTCGTCCGATTGAAAGTACGGCGAGATGGTATATTCACGAGAATGCGGAGATAACCTCGTGCACACCCGCGTCAGCGCGGGACCCTGGAGATGCATCCGAGATGGCATGGTAGGGGGGTATCTTTCGTTTGAGAACTCGCACATAGCAAGCGCCGCGCCGAGCGACTGGTACCTCGTTTCTATTGCCGTTGCAGTCGAATGAATCCGTAGTAGATTCGCTGCCCAGAAGACGTAGCGCAGATGATGGAGTAAGGCAAGCCCATACACAAATTGAATCTGAGTATATCAACAAGCACGTGCACGCGGCCGGCATGGCCCGTCGGCGCACTGCGGACGGAACGTTCACACAGACGTTCATGGTTAAACGTTGAACGTTGAACTGTATCTTCGCTGAGTACTCTGAAGGGATGGAGTCCACAACTGGCATGCATATACTATTGTTCATACGAGATAACATGCCTCAGGGCAAATGACATCGTTCATCCTCTCGACGGCCTCCCACCGCGCCGGCCACGATGGCTGGGCCGCGCACTTGGCCGCGCAGTTGAACTCCGGAGTAGGGAGCTCAACGCAACCATTGGCTTCAAAAGAATAGTCGACTCCCCTTTGACAGTGCGACGCAAACCCAACGCTGTCGAACATACGACCTTCTCGCTTTTCGAAGGACCATCGCCCTGGAACGCTGCATCCATCGAGTCCTTTTGGAACGACTCGCCATGAGGGACCACGATGCTCTCCATCCAGCCCACCGATACCTTCTCGCCCAATATCACGTCTAGCTCAAGAAGCAGTCGCGCTACACCCAGCAGCGTATCCTCAACCTTCAATAAAACAAGATCTCCACGAGCGGACGCGGATGCGCCTTCCCCGGTTTCGTAGCCCGCCACCATCAGCGCTTCGCCGAGAGCATCAGCCAGACGCCGCGACAACTGCTGCGGCTGAGATTGCCCTTCCGCGGTATTGCGCGCGTACTGGTGTGCCAGTGACGACCATCTGCTGGCCACGAGCTCCTGCTCTATGAAGCGTCAGCAATATACGAATGTACCGTGTTTACACAAGAGCACACCATTATTCTTCAGCGCGGCGAGAATGGGTTTTAGCCCTTGAGCGTTCTGGTAGACGTCATCGATCAAAAAGGTACGCGCGAAGTCAATCAATATCGCTTGGAGTCCTATCTGTAACGCCGTCGTAGGGTCGACCGTGCTCTTCGATGATGGCTTGAGGAGGGGAAGTGCGCCACAAGCCTCGAGACGTGATTTGAGGCTAGCTTGGACACCTGGTGGCCCCCGCGTCCGCCGAGTAATGCCCTCATATGCCTCAGCAACAGTGGTCGCGGACTGAGCCAGTTCGTAGTTGAGGTCTCGGAAGAGGCCCACGATACGAGTGTCTGTGATAGACTCCGTCGTCGGCAGCAAAGCTGTCGTGGCGTCAAGCTCGGCGCTGCGTTTGGCGAGCAGATCTTCCGCATCAGCGCGCAGACGCCGCTCGGACTCGAGGCTGTTAGTGCTCTCAGACAACTTGATGTTCAAGTCATCTCGTTGTATGGCTAGTCTCTGCGACTTGTCGCGCTCGACACGAAGTTCCCTCTTGTATGCGTCGCATGCCAGACGAGCCTGTTCCAATTCCGCTGCACATTCCACCAATTTCTTCCCCTTACGCTCGTACTTCTCTCTTAGAGTGAGCCTCGCAGGTTGGCTTCCAGTTCTCGTTCTGGCACCGGGCGCACGTGTATACCGTGACGGCTGGAGACAGTTCAATCGGTGTACGCGAGAATGGGATTCCCGTGAACGTACGTCGTCATGTACTTCCTCTGAAGCAGCTGAGGGAACCACTTCCATAGCGATCGGGGAGATCGTCTCCTGCCTCGTCTCGTCCGCTACTGGCTCGTCAGTCGCATGCTCTACCTGCCCGGAGGTCTTGGTGGATGCGACGCGTCCGGCGTAAGTCATTATGTTCGTCACGGCGCGCATCACACTGACAGAACGATCAGGATGGGCACGGTCGGCGAAGTTGTTCAAGTCACCTGTAGCAATCGCAGGGAGGGTACGGGGAGGTACTCAAGGAGAGAAGTTGATAAGGGGTTCCAACCCTGCGCTTTCTACACCGCGCGCCCTGACATAATGGGGGGTTCGATCACATCCTACAACGCGTGTACGTGCTTCTCTGTTCTCGAATCCGATGTCCTCCGCTGTCTACAATGGCTTCCTCCCCCAGAAACGGCGTGCGCTGCTCATATAGGTCAAGACCTTGCTCGATGTAGGAGATTGTTCACACCGTCTGCATACACGCCGTTCCAACGTGACTCTGCCCGGCTATCGCATGACGCTCAGAGACTATATCACACGTCCAAATGCTTCGTGGGTCGTTCGTTCGCTCCTCTCTGCGCCATGTCAACTCGCAAAGTCTACACAGGCGGAAAGCGGAAGCTCGTGCTAGCGTTCGACTTGGGCACTACCTTCAGTGGGGTGTCTTTCGCTATCTTGGATCCTGGCAAGGTCCCCAGGATTCAGACGGTGTCCCGGTGTGTAATTCACAAGTTCTTAGCAACTTGCTCGTTGACAATCGGCATAGATATCCTGGGCAGGAGACCGGGGACGCCAAGATCCCGACCGTTGTATACTATGACAAGAATGGCAATGCCTTAGCAATGGGTGCTGAAGAGCCTCAGATAGTTGAGACAGACGGCGACGATGAGTGGGAGGACGAACCACTGAAGCTAGAATGGTACGTCTATCCCGAGATATTCGCAACTGAGGCACATCGTAACCATCATGTTATAGGTTCAAGCTGCTGCTTCGTCCTACCGATACATCTCTCGCGTTGACAGCCGGCATCCCCGCCCCTCAGCTTCCTGCAAAGAAAACCATTGTCGATGTGTATGCCGACTTCTACGGCTACCTGTTCAGATGCGCTCGAGAGTTCATTCAGCAGACACACACCGCGCTCGGCACACTGGTCTGGCAGTCCATGCAAGGTGACGTTGAGGTCGTCCTTAGTCACCCTAATGGATGGGGCGGGCCCCAACAAGGCATCATGCGCCGTGCTGCTATTCAAGCGGGCATCGTTCCCGATACTCCCGAAGGGCGCTCTCGGATCACGTTTGTATCTGAGGGAGAAGCTGGACTTCATTTCTGCGTATCGAGCGGACTCGTCTCCGAAGAAATCCAGGTAAGTTATCCATCTGAAGTCTGGCACTGCCGCGTCTCACATCGGCCAGGCCAACAAGAACGTCATGATTATTGATGCGGGCGGAGGCACGGTGGACATCAGCACTTATGCATTCAAGACCGTCGAGCCCGTCAAAGTCGAGGAGATCGCGGTCCCGAGTTGTGAGTCTGCGAAGCGCTCCGAAGACGGTGCACGTACTGAACACCGGTCAGGTCTCCTTGAAGGCTCCGTGATCGTTCGGCGACGCGCGGAGACACTGATCCGAAGTGCGATTACTCAGTCCTGGAACCGCGTGATCTCCTAACGTTCTTCACAGCGAAGCTTGGAAGGTCCAAGAAGTTCAATGCTGAGTCTTATGTGCAAGCAATCGTGCAAGAATTCGATAAGGTAGCGAAGAAGAGATTCAAGGGTTCGGGCGACGCGAATGTCAAATTCAGTAACCTTATCACTGATCGCGAGGTCGAGGTCGGTATCCGGAATGGTTCCCTCAAGTTTACGAGGCACGTAGTCACGTCTATGATTGACGAATGTCGTCTGATGGTATGCAGGGATGAATTGTGCTCTTTGTTCGATCCGGCCATCTCGGCCATCGTTTCGGCTGTCAAGGCCCAACGGCGTGCGGCTATCATGCACGGAAATGTCAGAGTGAGCCCAGTTGTGCGATTACATCGTGAACGGGCCGGCACTTAAACGATGCTCTCTAGACATTCTTTCTCGTCGGCGGTTTCGCGGCTAGCGAATACCTATTTGACCAGCTTAAGGCTCTACTCGAAGGCGACAATCTTGCCCTTTATCGCCCGGATGCTCATACGTATGTCTTCTCGGGCATGCCCTTCAAGAATTCCGGGACTGACCTGTCCGTTTCAGGAATAAGGCAGTTGCAGAGGGTGCTGTGTCATACCACATCGACCATTACGTAGCCGCACGCGTGGCCCGCTGGACTTACGGTGCACATACGATCACTCCGTACCGCCCCTATCTCGCGACTCATGCTCGCCGCGCGCACTTGGTCTTTGCTGACGCAACCGGCGCGATCATGCTGGACAAGTCCTTCATGCCTGTCCTTGACAAGGTACTACGCACAGCCAATCCCATCCTATCACCAAGAACCTCACATCTGTCTGTTGATAGGGAGTGCAGGTCGCCGAGACGAAAGAGTTCCGCAGAAATGTCCGTTTCGCTGGTACCAAGACGCTGAAAAACACCGCCGTTTCACTTAAGGTTCTGGCGTATCGTGGTGCATCCTCTGTCCCAGCATTCATCGACGATGACGAAGGCAAGCGATCGGTAAAAGCTTGACCGTTGACAAGGACTGAGACTTCCTATATAGCGTCGTTCGTCACACTGTGCACGGTAACTGGTGTCTTGACCAACATCCCCAGCACTCAAGGATTTTTGCCTAACAAGGCGAAGCCTCCGACGCCAGTCTCAACGAGCACTGCCACAGCGGGCGGGAAGAAGAAGAAACAGAAGCATCGTCAACCAGACTACTTCACTCAGTCTGTGGACGTCGTGCTATCTTTTGGGATGACGGAGCTCAAGGCGGAGCTGGCTTGGAAAAGAAAGGTTCGTCTTTCCCCCCAGTACCCTCGGTCCTCATTGACACATACATCGCTCCACAGGGCGTTGAACACCGGTAAGTAGCGTGTACTGCACGAGGTTTCGTTGCTGACACGTCTGTAGGAGTCCAGCAAATGTCATTTACGAAGATGACTTCGCGGTCACCGTCGCTGGCTGAGATACGGCGTACGACATCCAGCAGTTTCTTGACGAAACGAGCCGCATTGTATACCTGCTATTATATCACCACACGATTTCATCGAGAGAATGCCTTTCTTAGTAAGCTGGAGCACCGAGCCGCTGAAACATGCGCTCAATTAGGTCCAAGATTATTCTATTTTATCTTTTAAATACTGGATTCTTCTTGTTCTCTTGAGCGTAAAACGTCATCGCCTATTCATGTCGTGTCAGGATATAGATTGTCGGTAAGAGTCCGATGGCGAGTGAACCAGAGGTAGGCGGTGATCCACCCGGTGACGGTGAGAGGCAAACCTTCCGACGACCACGGAGCGGTATTGGCTGTGCCGAGCCGGCGCCGAGTTATGCCGCTGGCTGCGGCCGCGAAGTGACGTAAGACTAAGGCTACTCGTGCTATCCTCACCTCGACGAGTTGATCGGCGACCTCCATCAACGACTTTGAGTCCCATTCTTCTGCAGGGATCGGCGCTTATTCCTGTATCTTAGAGCCCTCGGGCCAATAGGATACCGTTTCTGATCTGTCTATGCACTATCATGGAGAGTTTTCGCGACCGCTCGTAGCACAGCCCTTCGATGCGGAAGCCGACCAATGGATTAAGTAGACCAACCCGTAAACTCTGGCGTGATGGAATACTTGATCTCGATCGCGAGTTGTCTGGGTTCTTCTGTGCGATAACGGGCGCGTTCGCTTCCCCTTCCCACCGTCAATATTTATTACTGACCGGCATCTAGGCATGCTCGAACGCAAGTTACTCGATGGGGTCGTGCCCTCCTTGTTTGCAATACCTTCGCGAGGCTATGCTACACATGCGAACCCCACGAAGATCCAAGACTACACCGTCGTTGTAGGGTCGAGACCGTGGAGTATACGTTTATGCAGAAAGAGTGAATGGCCGTGCAGGCCCGTGTCAGTGCCGCTTCTCGAGAAGATTTTTGCACAGGGTCAAGGGTTCGCAACGTCGAAGGATGTGGTACGATCGGTGAGCGTATTCTAAACAGAGGCATGCTAACGACACTTATAGTGACCGCTGGCAGAATCCGCGTGTACTAGGATGCCGTATGCTATCCTTAGAGACAAGCTCCAGTGCTACCGTACCCTAACTTGGCTTTGTCTGTAGCCGTGTCAAAGTCACTCGCGCTTGTTCCAGGTTTCTCTTGTCAGGTGGTGTATCGGTGACATTGTTCGTCCAATCAGCGATGTGTGTACTCCCGCACAAGGCGCCTGGATCTGTCTCTGACCTCGCTCATGTTGCCGGTACATATCTGAACCCTCATCTTTCAGATGCTTCTCAATCTCATGAGGCAATGCTGCACGGCTGCCTTGCGACGCACTGCCTTCGAATTCGAAGCAGTGTTCTCCTTCTCGCACCGTCTGCAGTCGCCTGAGGCTATCATCCTACAGCTGACTAGTGCGCGTACAGACACAATCTCCATCGGAATGCGGATTGCGCCGGATTGCAAAGTCAGACAGACTTCAGAGCGTCCCATATGAAGTGTATCTATCTTGGCATAGATGCCATCCGTGCGAGCGCTCTTCTTCGAACCACGCGCCCCCGGCGTGAAACGTCAATACAAGTAAGAAAGCGCGTGTATTCGCTTCTTATGGGAGGCTGACGGGGATCACATATAGTCTGTCGTAGGCATGTACAACACGCTGCTCAGTGCTTGCTCAACGCGGACTTTGAATCTATTGGCGAATACCGTACTCTCTGTCTTCGATCGAAGATACCTTTAAGCGCCTCAATATATATCATCTTCACACCGTCAGCGACTGCACTCACTTCTCTGCTACACATCATGGCCTGTCGCAAAGTCTTCACCGGCAGCAAGCGGAAACTTGTTCTGGCATTCGATCTGGGCACAACGTTCAGCGGGGTATCTTTTGTGGTTCTGGATCCTGGAAATGTGCCCAGAATCCAGACCGTCACGCGGTGAGCCCACTGTCTGCGTGATCTGAGTCGCTTTGTGAACTCACGATCTCCAGTTATCCTGGTCAAGAAGCTGGCGACACGAAGATTCCAACCATCGTATATTACGACAAGGACGGACACCCAGTCGCTCTCGGCGCCGAGGAGCCACCGCTTCCTGAAGACACGGAAGACGACGACGAATGGCAGGCTGAGCCGCTGAAACTTGAGTGGTATGTCGCCGTGAATGACGCCCGTCGTTACCTATCTAATTGAATGGCAGGTTCAAGCTACTGTTACGGCCTGGTACAGCATCCCTCACGCTCAACGAAGACATTCCTGCGCCACAGCTACCTGGGAAGAAGACCATCGTGGATGTGTATGCGGACTTCTATGGCTATCTCTTCAGATGCGCTCGCACATTTATACAAGAGACACACACAGCGATTGGCGCTCTGGTCTGGGAGTCGATGCAAGATGATATAGAGATCGTGCTCAGCCATCCGAACGGTTGGGGTGGTCCGCAACAAAGCACGATGCGGCGCGCCGTCATACAAGCCGGTATCCTTCCGGATACGCCTGCTGGTCGTTCGCGCGTCACTTTTGTCTCTGAGGGCGAGGCTAGCCTTCACTACTGCGTGTCCAGCGGTCTTCTCTCCAATGAGATCGAGGTGCGTTGTGGATCAGGACGCTGCATCAAGCGCTGAAGAACATTCTGGTGCAGGCAAAGAAGAACATGATGGTCATTGATGCTGGAGGAGGTACGGTTGATATCAGCACATACTCCTTCAAGTCCGCAGAGCCGGTGAAGGTCGAAGAGATAGCGCCGCCGAACTGTACGATTCGGGCTGTGCTCAATTCTGAGCTTCCATATTGACTGCTTACCCATAGGCCTCGTGGAGGGTTCGGTCATTGTTCGGCACCGTGCGGAAGCGCTCATACGCGGTATGTGTTTGGCGCCCGCTCCGTTCCTTCTTCTCACAGTCTCTTCAGGACGGCTGGTGAGGTCGAAGAAGTTTAGCGCCGAAGCGTACATTCAAGCCATCGTGCAAGAGTTTGACAAAGTCGCCAAGAAGCGCTTCAAGGGGACGGCAGATGCCAACGTGAAGTTCAGCAATCTAATCAATGACAGAGACGTCGGGGCCGGCATACGTAACGGCGCTCTCAAGCTCACAAAGTACGCGAGCCGTGTCTCTGTTGGTACCTTAAGTACAGCTGACACCCGTGCGCCAGAGACGAGATGTGCTCCTTGTTTGATCCCGCCATCAACGCCATAGTCAACGCCATTGAGGATCAGCGGACTGCAGCTCTCGCCCACGGCAGCGTGCAGGTTGGCACCCTTTTTTATCAATCTGGATTTGTACTTACAATAACTAAGACCCTTTTCCTCGTTGGCGGCTTTGCGTCCAGCGAGTACGTGTTTGAGAGACTGCAGTCGCACTTCGGGGGCTGTGGCTTGACGGCACAAGTATATCGTCCGGACGCACACGCGTACGCTCCGTTCCTATTCATGTGCGCGATCCAGGAGCTTATTTTCACAACACTTACAGTAATAAGGCAGTGGCTGAAGGTGCAATATCATTCTACGTTGATCATCATGTGTCGGCAAGGGTCGCCCGCTGGACGTATGGAACGGCGATCAAAGTCCCGTATGATCCGTCCATACCCAGTCATGCGCAGCGTACGCATCGTGTCTATAAGGACGCGACGGGGACATACATGCTCGAGAATGCCTTCTATCCACTTATACAGAGGGTGAGCTGATCCTTACGATACAGGTCGCTGGTACGCTAGATGATCTCATTCGACTGTGCCAGGGAACGCAAGTTGCGGAGACAGAAGACTTCTCTCGAACCATCAACTTCCATAGTCCCAAAGATCGCAAGGACACCGACCTCACGTCAATCATATTCGCATATCGAGGGTCATCTGACATTCTCCCAACCTTCCTCGACGAGGACGAAGGTCCGTCTGCGTCGCATTACTGTTGTTCAACGTTTAACCCTTTCTCTGACGAAAATCTCTGTCGGCCTAGACTCTTTCGTCGCGCTATGCAAAGTGTCCAGTACTGTGCATGACGTGCCGAGCGTAGATGGCTACCTTGTCGGACAACCTACGTACTATTTCGACCACTACGGCGTTCAGAGAAAAGCCGAACCGGCGTATCGAATGCAGACCGTGGACATCGTGATCTCTTTTGGTCTCACCGAGCTAAAAGCACATATGTCGTGGGTCGTCAGGGTATGTCGTGCGCTCTATTGCGGTGAGGGTTACTTACCAAAAGCCTAAATGTACAGGGAAAGAAACAAAGGTATTGCTCAAATCACGCTTTGACCTGCTCTTCGCTCAACCACTACAGGAGCCCTGCGTCTGTTATCTACGAGGACGACTTCGCCATCACGGTCCCCGGTTGATCGTGGTATTGAACTCTTGTATGCATTGCCTTCGTTCTACGCTGCCTCATCGTGGCCGGCCCATATTCTGTGTATCGGTATCTTTCAATGTGTAGCATATATAATCTGTAACGAAACCCCTGAAAGCATTGGGTTGGGTGCGATAGCAGTACAGAGCAAAAAAGAGTCAGTCTTGAACCGGCGGAAGGAAGAAGGTCAACACTCCGCCTGCATCCGCGACTTCACCGACATATACATAGAAAATCATGGCATGCTGATGGCACACACCTGGGCAGCCATCGTCAGTGCGTATGCTAGCGACGCAATAAGATATACGAACAAGCAATGGTTGTCGTGGAGACAACATGAGCGCTTAGGAACTGTAACAAACTTCTCGTCCTGAGCAGAACCCCGAACATTCGTTCCGGATCGGGATTCTCTGCCGGTGCCTCTTGCGACGGACCGTCCTCGCCTGCAATCTGGCTTCAGGAAAGTGATGACCATAATGAGCGTGTTGCTCACCGATACGTGGGTTCTGCAATTTGTCCCACACGACGTCTATCTTCGCGTTCTCTGTAGCGGCCGATATCTGGAGCTTGCCCGAGCGATTCGCTCGTACGGCCACAACGTCGCCGAGAGCGCGTAAACGTTCAACTACAGGCCGTATATCCTGTAAGGGAGGTAGCACTATGTGAACCTGGACATGGAGTTAGCTGGACTCGGCATGTTGGAGCACATTTACTCACGTCCGGCTCTGGGCATAGCGGCTCCTTCAGCTCCGCGACATCCTGCGGTTTCATGATATCGATGCGTACATCGTGCGAAACGCGCACTGTTCGACCTCCGCGACTTGCAGTAGCAATCTCAAAGTTGAGTACTGGCACGTCGTTCTTCTTCGCGAGTTTCATCGTCACGTCCTCTAGCGATACGCCAGGAAGTGTGAGGGGCCGCAGTACCTGCGAGAGAGCGTCGGCGGAGAGCAGGATAGAGATCTCGTTGTTGCTATTAGATTGAATACGGTAGCTGGAGAAGATCGCTTCAACACGTATCGTGCTGTAGACGTAGTCAGGACGTACACCCGTGCCTAATGCACTGCGCCGCTTACGACCAGATCTGTACTGTGCTTCCGGACGGATCTGCGTTGCAGATGATGCGCATTTCCGTCTCACTGAACCTCATGATACATTTCTTCTGAATCTTCTCAACCGTTTGCATTATTCCTGTTCACTTCTGCCGTCAGATAAGGTCTTCATAGATGCATCAGCCCTTGAAAGCGTTACTCACGCGCGAAGGTCGTGACGTTCTCGATGTTAGCACGGAAGCGCATGTCGGGCTCAATTTATGGGGTATCAGAGTTGGGTATCTGGTTCCACAGCAATGTCAGGAGGAAGTTGAGGAGCAGAGGTCATGTAGCGATCATGAGAGTCGGAGACAAGCCGGACGCGTTTGCGACGCGACGCGACGCGTATAACGCGGTCACGCGCACTTTCCCACCACATATGTATTCAGAGCTAGCAACCGAGCCGTGGTTCGCACAGGCTCGGAGATCGAATTGGAGTAGTGTGTCAGTAGTTAATGTACAGTATATTCCTTGTACAGGCGAAGTACAGAGTAGTCGAAGAAGCACTGGAGAGTGAATCGCGGAGAATATTGACGTAGTTACAGCTTCGTCTTGACGTGCGAGTCGCTGCGGACGCGCGCAATGGCCTTGCCCCAGGTCCTACGCTTCTCCAGGTCGTCTAGTCCCTCAACAAGTGTATCAAGCGTATAGACCTTCTCGTATACAACAGGGCTCAGGCGGTTCTCCGAAATCATCCTGCGTGGTACAGTCAGCTGATGGACGTCATTATGAGGTAGAGATTACGATACACACTTGAGGAGGTCCGTCCATACGTGCTTCACCTGTCGAGGGTCCTTCTCTATAGCAATCGTCAGCGTTGGATGGAGTATTTTGCAGGGGTACATACGGATATATGATCCCCAGTGGACACCAAGAATGGCCACATTCTTGAGAAGAACGAGGTTTGTGGGTAACTGGCCGAGTGTGAGCACGATCGGCAGCGCGTATGGTCTAGTAGTCTGACCTTCTCAATCTCGCCACCGGCAAAGCCAACAACAAGAGCTCGTCCACTCCATGCGATGCATTTGAGGGAGTCTACGCAGTCATCAGCGACAGTCCGCACGAAGTTCACGAGAGGAACCGACCCTTGATCTTCCCAACGGGGTCGTACACGACATCCACACCCTTGCCCTTTGTAAGGCTCAGAACCTCCTTCTGCCACCCCTCCTTCGTATAATCAACTACAAAGTCCGCGCTCCCAAACTTCTTGACAACATCGATTTTGCCCGGAGAGCAAGCCCCGATAACTTTGGCGCCGAGAGCTTTGGCAATCTGCACTGCTGCGATACCTACGCCACCCGCTGCTGCGAGCACGAGCACCCATTCACCTATTGCAGCGACTTAGCTCTTTCACGTTCATGCACTTGGTAGTATATGACGTGCCAGGTTGGACCTTCGCCCTTCCTACCAGCGCTTCGTGGCTAGTTGGGTACGTGACAAATAGTCCTATGTAGTCCATCAGCCTCCTTGTCATAGTATGAGCCTGTCTGAGATACCTGAAGCTTGCTCGTACGACAGGTTATCCGGCATCGGTAACAAGTTCTCCACCTTCGCCGCTACGCGCTCGCCAAACGCGCCTTGCGCGCTTCCGAAGACACGCGCTCCCGGCGCAAACGGGCATCCAGGTGGGAGAATCGCGTCGCGCGAGACAGTACCGGCGAATTCGGAGCCAAGTACGAAGGGGAATGGTGGCTTATTCTGGTACTTTCCTTGCGTTTGTAGGATCTACTTGACTGCCTGTCAGTCGTCATTTGCAAGGAGGCTGTCGCCAGAGACGCACATCAAAGAAGTTGAGACCCGCGGCGTGGACGTCAACCAGAACCTCGCCGGCTTTAGGCGTGGGGTCCGGTGCATCATTTGCGAGTTTTATCTGGGACGGGTGGGCATACTCTTTGACGACAAATGCGCGCATTGTTGTAAGCGGGGGTGGGGAAAGTGGTGGTACAGTCGAGAGCCGCGTTGAGGACAGGCATTAGAATGCGGGGTAAGGTGCCCGGACCGGTGAATTGCCGGTCCCGGTCGTTCATTCGGGTCTCGATCCGTATGGCCGCGTGTATCCTTGTCTGCTACCATCATGGTCTTTGAACCGCGGTTCTCGGAGGCACGTCCTCCGGGTATTGCAGGGCGTAACGGGTCGATCCCTTTCAGTCGTGCTGTTGCGTCAATTCTGAATGCCTCCGACCCTCTTGGGTATTGAGTCGGGCACGACTCAACCGTACGGCAGCAACACGGCAGTCGCGCGTAGTGTCAAGATATGCACTCTTGAGAAGGCTATAGCCCTATCGAGTCATGCATGCGCACCCGATACAACCAGCATCTCATTTCAACCCCATCGATCTGCCGCTGAAACGCTTGCCATTGATTATCGGTCCTCCAATAGTCTTCGTCGACGTCGGTGGAGTATCTCACTTGGCACCGGAAGAGAAAGTGGCCATTCAGTGTCGTTACTCAACGGGCTATTGATATCTCACAGCGAAGCGGAACGACCTCACACTGTCCACTGGTATGAAGATATAATTCGGTGTTTTGCCGAGTGACTCGATGGAAAAATGCACGCCCACTATCGCAACATGAGTCGGACTTCCCGCTTCTAATGCTTCCTTCCACTATCTGTGTTCCGTGAACGTGTGTGCGCTGCATGTAAGCTGCATGTACTGTAGGATGAATTGCACGTGCTAACATATATATTGCGCAGATTCGGGAAAACCCCGCCCTCACAAGCCACCTCGTCCTCTAAACGCCATAATGGTCCTGAAGACACCCCGCGCTCGCATCAGTCTTTACTCAAATAGCTCTACGAGCACAACAACAGTACGTTCCTCAGATATGATACGCCCTAAATGGTACGGCTGACTATGAATACCAGTCGCTGCCGGCTCAGGTTGACACGCCGCCGTTGCGAGCCAAGACACCTACCCTCGATCCCAAAACTCGTGAAGACCTCGGCAAACATCTTCAGTCCGCCGTCGCATGTGCGAAGTAGGTTTCTTTCGTGTCAATATATGCCGACAAACCCTGACCGATCGCGCAAGGTGTCCGACGAGTGCCGCATCGTATGATTGTCGAGGTGCGGTTGTTCTACCCCAACCTAGTCGTCACACTGTCGTGATACAAGCTAACGTCTTTATCCGCGATAGTCGTCAAAGCGTCTGGTCTCCCTCCACACTTAGGACATGTACGAACCACGAGGTACACCATCGAAATGTTCGTCGGCAACGAGGTGCAAAGGACCAAAGAGGCTCTGCGAGGTCCGAACCCTGAGTGGGATACTACACTATTTAGATCTTTGTACGCCATGATTCACCACATCTGCGCTATCTTCTGGTACTGATAGCTATGAAGATCGACGCAGGAAGGATTCACTCCTATCACTGTCCGAGTAGTTCGTATACGACATATGCATCCCGAGGAGCTGGTTGCGACGAAGACATTGAACATCGATCTTCGCAGCGAGGTGCCACATGGCTGTGAGCTATCGACCCCTCTCATATCTTCATCTATTCTGATAGGATCCTTCAGATCGTATCTTCACGTGGCCCATGAAATTTCAAGCCGGCTTTGACAAGCACCTTCAATCCGAAGTGAAGTTGGAGGTTGCGTTCGCTCGCTTGGATCGTCAAGACCCCTGCACTCATAGCGACACGGCTGAACCAACGCCCACCGATATAGCCCTTGACCGTGTCATGGCCTGTCTCGATACCGATTCGGAGTGGAGAGAGCTTATAGGAGCTACTCAGAGCTTCATGCGCGCGGTGAAACTCATAGCAGAAGTTAGTCCCATCACAGATTCGTCGACCGGATGGTGTCGCTGGAGCTGATTCCGAAATCTAGATACACCCTTATGCCGCACTAGCCTGCACGCTACTCTCTTACATACCTGATGTATGTTATCCGTTTCTGGTTTGAGCCTCGACGCAACGAGTCACTCACACGCGAGATAGCAAGCGGCCAAGAGCATCGAACGTGACGATCAGGTCAAGGAGCTATGCACAGTCATCAAAGATGCGCTTCTGGTCGTCAATGCGGCCAAGCCTTTACAGGATCTAGACGACAACGCATATACCACTCAAGTGAAAATCCTGACGCGCATCACGCATCAGATCGCGGACTGCTTTCGCTTTCTACGCACTTACGCAGATGAAGCTTGCATGTGTGAGTCAGTCGGTGACCTTTTAGGGCACTCGCTCATAGGCAGAAAGGGAATGGAATGATCAAGCATATGCTTAGTGCGGCACACGTCGAGAAGCACGTACGGCATTATACACAAGTCATGGAACATCTTTTGTCCAGTTTCTCCAACAACGCTCTGGTGCAGATACAGATCAGAGTCCATAGCCTGGCTGAGCACAGCGATGATTCAATACTCAAGCATGCTATCTCAGGTCGGTATCCTTACCCCTATCTCACGCGTCTTCGATAACCGTACTAATGAGCCGCAGATACCCATCATCATCATACTCACTCTCTGCTCCATCCGACGAAGTCCCATGTCCGCCATAGCGCCGACCATACCCACGAAGTCTTCGACCAGCTTACACACTGGATCGAGGATCCGAAACACGATCTCACTCGCGCCTTCCTCATGGTCAGCAACACTGAGAGCGCGGCGTCTGCGATGGCACACGAGATTGCGTCGCGCTACTCGAGCATGCAGCGCCTGGCGTCTTCATTCACTTTCGACGCCCCTCCGGCCAACGATGGCCGAAACATGTATCACTCTCCGCAGATGTTCCTGCTGAGCCTCGCTCGCGATCTCGCCCGCTTCGACAAGCAAATCAAGTCCGAACTGCACGCCTCTATCATGAGCGACCCGGATATCGCGCTGTCGGTGGATTGCTCGCAACTTTTCGAGCAGCTTGTTCTCCGACCGGCCAAGCAGCTGTCCGTCGTGGGCCCCGTGGTGGTCGTCATTGACGGCTTGCACCTCGGCGGCGCGGACTCGGAGAGTGCTCTCTTTCACATTTTACTGTCACCTCAGCTTCTCCAACTGCCGGCCAACTTCAGGTTCATACTGGCTATGGCGCCTAGTGACGAAGTTGAGAAGATCGTATCGCCTGCTGTCCAAAAGATCTACTTGTAACCGCCTATCACGTACAATATACCTATGCATACCCGCTGTTTCCGTGAATACCATTGTGGCAGCACCCGAGTTGCTTGCCAGTGCATGATCACCGGATTTGCAGGCACCTGTCATCGGGACGCGTCGACGCGACGCGACTGGAGAAATCACGCGAGCGTGGCGCCTGCGTGCCGATCCGCGCGCTGCTGTTGGCCCCAACCCCAACGACGGCCGCACTTGCCTCCTACCCTCGTCAAGCCCCTTCTCGGAGAGGGAACACAGAGTATACCGCCCCAGTAGCGGTGTGAGCTCGTTAAAATGCAGTGCTTTAGATTCCGCATCGGGACTACCATTCCTACGCTGCTCTCATGGCATACTAGTGCCTCTCAGAACGTCCTGCACTGTCTCGATCGAAAGCTGGCTCCCCTGCGCAGTACCCTCTCACTCCAAGTTACGTGCTGCTCAAATAATTCATGCACTTGGCGTGGCGACATAGAGCCAGAGACTGCGGTAAAGCGAACACTCACTGGCTCAGATACGGCGTCTTGATCTCCTAGCTTTCTCTCTGGTACGCCTGCCACATGTATGTCTCCGACCTATCGCAAGCCTGTGGCCCATATATCATCCGTCACGACTCGGAGCGGCTGCGCTTTCAACGCTCTTAGCAGCGATACCACGGCGGCCGTCCCTGAATGGGACGCTGTCAGAAGCACCGCACAACAGGCCATCCACTCAACCTCCTCTGACAAGTTCTATCTTCCAAGCCAAGTCTTTCCACTCCTCTGCGTGTGCAAAAGAGAACATAGCGTCCCGTTCTAAAGCTGCTTCCTATCTGAGAGCTGACATGATCTGCCACAGATGAAAGAATCGGAAGCCGATATTGCGCATGCGACCGCGCATGGGATGACGGTTGTGATCATGAGGTGGGCGTAGGATGAGCGCGAGCCGCGGAACATAAGCCGTAGTAAGCTCAGAGTAACCCGACTTGGTGAAGAGATCGAACTCATTTGGCTCTTCTGCTTGCAACGGCGAACAGGCACTCTTACTCCGGCGGCGGCCCAGCTAAACCCACTTTCAACACCGATCAAATGCCCGTCCAATGCGCACCGTCATCTGCGATCCACATGTGGCTGTAAGGCGCAATACACAGCACACCCGAGCGGGCAGGTGCGACAGCTTCGCACAGATCCTGAGAGGCGCTCGGTCTTTGGCTTGTGATTCTCGGAGCGCGTGCGCGCATCTATGCCCGAGGGCAAGCATGTGCCTGCATACATCCTCCGCCGTTCTCTTGCGTTCCCCCATCAGGCTCTCGGCGTTCGCATCGCGGATAGGAGAAAGGTATATAGACGCTATGTCTGTCATGAAGAGAACTTTCAGCTGTGCTCTCCATCGCTCACCTCCTCATTCACTTCCCCATACTCGCCGATCACTTCGCGCCACACATCGACATTATGAGCCCTGCCACATGTGCGTTGCTTCATCATACTTGGCCCATTCGTGATACTGAAGGCATCATATAGCATCTACTCAGAGCGTTCGCCAGTCCGAGTGGGACTACGCAACAAACAACTACCCCTCCGACGACTCGAGCGACTCTTTCTACTCATACTCTAGCCGTACGTCCATGGCCCTTTCCATCATCGACTCACCTCTCATAAGTGGTGCTCCTGCAGAAACGCCTTCATCCGCCACGGCCATTCCGACACAAAAAGCTTCAAGCCCAAGCCTGTACTCTGGTCAGGGCAGTAGCTGGGAGGGACGGGCCGAGGCGGCTGCAGCGCTCGCGGAGTTGTATCGCGAGTCGCGTAGGCAGGTCAGCGGTTCTGCGTGAGCGCTGGACAACATCACTCAGCATACCCCATCTTCTGTCGCATTGCATAGCCATCTGTATCAGTACCCGCGTCTCATCTGTACCATGCATCTCTTCGCTTGTATCATTCGAAGATACACATCGCTCAACCTGGCTTATCACACCAGAGTATGTAGCAAGACGCCTAACGCGCTGTCGGGAAGTTCGAGAAAATATGTCCGTAGTGAGACCCGGGGAGAGGGTACTCCGGTTTCTTGTCTGCAGTTCTGAAGAGTCATGGCATATAGCTGAACGAAAAAAAAAAATGGATGGTCTGAATGAACTGCCCCAGTGAGGCTCGAACTCACGACCTTCCGATTGCTTTAGTGTAACAGTCGGACGCTGTAACCAACTCAGCCATGGGGCATGTTCACTACTTGTTTTGCAATAATCCACAGCTCAGTAAAGTGGACTGTACGATGAAGCATAACGCTCTGAGTCTGAACAGACTGTGACGTTTTTCTCCAGCCAACAAATAAGGCCAATAGCCTATATTACGAGAAGTTGGCGTCGCGGCGAAGCATGAAGATAGAAGAAGGATTCATCCCCATCAACTATGGTCGTAGAGCCGGGATGCTGAGGGATGCTGCAGTCGATGCTCCCCTTTCCCTTTTCTCGTTCGCATCATTTCCGTCTGCAGAGGAGACTAGCTGCAGCCAGGGCTCAGATCTCAGAACTCAGCATCGGTCTTAACGAGGCAGGTGCTGGCTGTAAAGTGCGCGATAAGATATATTTGATCGGGCATTGCTTTATATGTAGATGATACATCAGTTTGCACAAGTTGAACATGAGGAATTGGGAGGTGAATGAGCGCGTTATGGTATACAAACTGCAGGTGAAGCAACGACGGACGGTCCTGTTACACTAGCCGAGGCCGCAATCAGCAAGGCGCTACGAAGGAAGACCAAAATATAAGAAAGTACGTACACGGTCCCCCACATTCCCTCTGCCCTCTCTTCCTATGGGTATCCAGTCCCTCCTCTTCCTTCGCCACATACTCCCACGCCTAATCCCGACCAGTCAGTCAACGAATAGATCGTCGACGTCCTCCATCTCGAGAAGATGCACTCCCATTTCCGTCAGGATCGCGTCGATCTCCTTGATCACATCCTTCGCGCTGGTGACAGCGCCGCCGGCGAGCACCTCAAGCCGATCAAACGTCCCATGTGCGCCGCGGATGACAATGACCTCGTTCCCCCTCTGAAGCGCCGCCGCGCATGTCGCCCGCACGCAGAAGTCGCTCTGAGCGCCTATCACCACCAATAACGCCTCATCCGGTACCAGCTCCGCCAGCTTCGTCCCCGCGAACGCATTATTCTTCTTCTTATCGAGGACGTGCTCGTCCTTGTCCAGCTCGGGCCGAAATATCAACTCCCACCCCGGGCTACCCGTATGGTCTATATCTCCAGAGTCACCACAATTCCGTACGTGGATAATGCGTGGGCGATGCGGGGCGGCGCGCGCAGAGTCAAGGATGCGCGTCAAGTTCGCGCGTAGTGTCTGAGAGTTTGGTACGCCGCGCGGAGGCGGACTTAGCAGGCCGACTTGGGCGTCTAAGATCAGAAGGACTCGATGCACGGGTGTGGGCTCGGGGTCTGGTGAGATGGGCGGGGTGGGGTGTGCCGAGCTGGGCGCGGATGGAGCCATGAGAGATGGGTGAAACCTGCGTTTGATCGCTTATCGATAGCGCATGTTCGAGTTCCCTCTGTCGCCGCTCAGCGCAGCGACAACGAGCCCAAATCCGCTTTGCTTGAACAACGGGCGCTCGTTCATGACAGACAGAAGAAAGCTCGATGTCGGTCCCGAACCGGGGTACACGTACAGTCTCACATCTCAGATCGTTTGCGGAGATTCGTCTGTAGGGCCGGTTTGGGCCCAGGCGCGTCCGTGCGACGCCAAATCAACTTGCGTCCTACCCTCATCTCCTCCCTCTTTTCCTTCAGACTCTTCGGTTGCCCTCGATTGGGCCATCATGTTATTTGGGGTCTGTTCAAATACAAGAAATATGCGAATGCTAGACTGAAGTCAAGGCAAAGCCTCAGCGCCGGCGTCTTTACTGGCAGGCGCCTCGCAGCAAGTGGACACCGGCCCGCTTGCTTTCCGTGCAGCATATGAGCCAGGCAGGATTTGGGGTCCTTTCGTATCGTCGGGACGCCCTTGATGGTGTCCATGCACTTTACCCGCCTGCCGATTGCGCCACAGGTCATCGGCGGCCGTCTGACTTTCTCTACATGTATGCCTCAATGGGCACGGGCGGCCTGCTTGTAGTACGCACCACGATGCGCGTTCTTCAGCCCGACGTCGTACCTGCACGGCTGGGAAGAGAAGTCCCGTTGAAGCCATCGAAACGGACTGGTCGGTCATGTTGGAAGCATGCGCTTGCTTCGAATGATAATATACATTTTGAACGACCACACGCTATAAGCGACCCACAGAGAACCGGCAAGCTCCCTACGAGACCCTGCAAGACCCAGTGCCCAGAGCAGTCGCGCACAACTCCGAGCCGCCGTTCGCGAAGCGCTGAAGACGCGCGGCAACCTCGAACGCCGCGGGCTTCGGGCTACCGTTCTTGTCAAAGAGCGTTGCAGCGGCAGCTGTACCTTGGAAGGACACATCGTCGCGCGTATCCCAGTTGATGAACTCGTTGCAGTTGCTCGCGAACAAGCAAACCTACGAGCCGTGGTGTCAGCTTCGCGCTTCTTACTCGCAGTTGGCCGCAGAAGACGTACATCGAGCATGTCGCCCCAGAGCGCCGCTTGGAAGCGCAGGTCTGCTTGAGATGACGAGGGGAGCTTGATGTCGAGCTCAGTGATCAGCGCCTCGACGCCCATGCCCGCTAGGGTTGAGAACGTCTGCGTCAGCGCTGCCTTGCTCGGGAAGAACGTCTCTTGGATGTGGCTCTGGAAGCCGATGGCGAGGCGGTTGAAAGGAATCCCGGTGTTCGCCTGGATGTCCTTCAGCACCGTGATCTCACAGGCCGTCTTCGCGTCGTTTGCGCCTGCGTGCTCAGGTATGAGCTCCGTCTCTTCTCTATCAGCCTATGAAGCTTACCAGTGTTGAAGTCGTTCAAGGACAAACGCGTATTGGGACCTGCACCGATGTACTCGCTGTCAACGCACGTTCATTCATCCACAGGATTCTGAAAGCTCACCAGCCGCCTTGAAAGCTGCGGAGAACGCAGCGTGAAGGAACGAAAGATCCGTCGCGAGCGGCACGCCCGAGCCATCCGAAGTGACCGTCGGCCACACCCCCTTATTCTGCACACACTGCAACGCCGTCATACCGAAACTTACACCGTCGCCAACGACCTCGTTCGCAACATCCCACGAGGTAACGGAGGGTCCCAAGCCGGAGATCTCAGCCGTTACGTGCTGTGGGATGATAGTGCTCACGAGCTGGCTCGCGGTGAAGCGGCCCGGGAGCCAGTTCTATATTCGACGTTCGTGGACCGTCAGTCATATACCACAGGCACGCATATGCACGATGCGCACCGGAAGCTGCTCATGCCAGAACGTGTTGTGTCCACGGAACGTATGGCCCATCTGGTTTGCGAAGTTCTGTACGCCGGTGCACGACGTCAACACGCTGTTACCCTGCGACGGCTCCGTCGCGTCCCACTTGCATCCGTTCTCGGCGACGACGTGGTTGAAGAAGATGCCGAAGACGTCGTTCGTGAAGCTCTGGTCGGGGTCGTTCACGTCGAAGGTGGAGCCGAAGTGGAATGTTTGGCCCTTGCGCGCCGAGACGCCGGCAAGGATGGTGCGGAGGTCGATGCTGCCGCTGCTCGGCGCGCCGTGGTCGATGAGGAGGTCGACGGCAGGGACAGCGAGAGCCGACGAGGCGAGGACGGCGAGCGTGACGAAGGATGTGAGGGCGAACATCTTGAGCTTGACTGCCTGCTAAGTAGTAGAGCAACGAGCAGCTGGAGAGTGTCTTTGTTTGGTGTTGCATTTTATACGCAGGAAAATGTCCTGATGAATACATATCCCGCTGGATCATTCTCTCAGTACTGTGCGGAGACCTTCCACGCAACCTGCCATATACCCGGATACCCCGTATGCTTGAAGGTCACAGGATGAGGGCTGGCAAGGGCCGACTGGGTAATCGATTCAGACGTCGACTTTTTAGCCATCTAGCCTTTGTCAGAGCAATCAGATATACTTGTCGTGAGATGTATTGGGTCCCGTGAGCCAAGATACATGTCGTCAATGAGGGTCAGGCCGTGCTGTGATTCACGGGCTAGCACCAACGTTCAATATTAGGTGACATGCATTCCGGCGGTCTAACCGCGACGACGAAGACGGTGTAGAGTATCGCATAGACACGAGTCGACGCAGAGTACTTGGCAGTCGGTGGTAATCCTGGAACAGCAGCACTGTCCTCCTACATCAGCGATCGCCAACCTGCGTCGTTGTTTCCGTATGCAGCCAGCGGCGATCACCCGCTTGAACAGAGGACTGAAGAACCGGCGGCACAGTCGCCGCCGCAAGTCAATCACGCCGAGCCGACCCGCAGAGTTCATCTTCCAAGCAGTGTCACTGGACGGATGAGGAAGGGTTGTCAGCGTTCGAGGGAGTGCGACGAGCAAATGTGTACATACCCGTCATACCGGAGTTCCGCTCGGACACGGTGAGATCACCAGCAATGCCCGTCCAGTGAGTGCGCACGACGTAAAGTGTAGGCTTCATGAGTGAGTGGTCATCATCCAAAAGCGTCTCAGGCAGAGCTGTACGCGCAGCGAACATGGGGAAACAGTCAAGGTCTTACGGTTCCACGTGCCTTTCCACGGCGATGGTCGTGTCCAGGATACAGTGCCAGATGCTCTTGTCCCCCCACAGAGAACGGGTATCAGATACGCAATGCGATAAAGGTAGGTTGGGATCTCAATTGCCAGTAGGTATACATTGATGACTTCGGGAGGTGGAATAGTAATGTATGACGTAGCCGAACACGGAGGGGACAGAAGACGACGAAGATAATGATGAGGGTGGGAATGCATTCCTAGGAAGATGTGGAAGTGGCAAACCGGGTACAGACGAGCCCCTCTAGTTGGACTTCACGCGGCGCTTGCAGATGAGCTTGTGACCACCTTCTTGCCAGTGCCTAGAGGACACGTCAGCATTCATGTCGCGGAAAGCGATCGTAGGGAAAAGCAACGCACTGAACCTGGCACTTGCGGCTGCAGTAGGCCACCTCGCCGCAACCTTTGCACGGACGCAGTCGACCAGAGCTTTTCTTGACATGACGCGGACATTGTTTCGAAGAACAGCGTGACGGTAGAGCGAAGTTGCCGTTTTTCTCGAACTGTTCTCGCTCTCTGGCCTCGTTCAGCCCTGCAATGACGCCCAAGGTTCGCCAAGACTCCTGTAGATTCTTGAGAGGAGCTTGATCTTCACAAGGAGGTAGGGCCTCGAGAGCCAAAAGGCCATGTACCCAGTATCGACGCAGATCTTGGCGGAATAGGGTGAATGCCTGTGACTTCGAGACCCGTAGCTTTCCGTTTGTGCCGTGAGTGGCGACGCGAGTGGCCGTCACAAGACGTTTCAAGTGATCTATCACGTTACTGAGGGAGATCGGACCTGTGTACGACATCCATAAGTTGCGACAGAAGATGGTCATAAGATTCACATACTGATCTTTGCCTGTGGAAGGAGGAAAACGATCCCGTATTCAACAAACTCCACAACGCTGCTAGATGAAAGGTTTCGCAAAGTCTCTTCAGCCGGGAGGCACATCTCGGGCACATAGATTCGCTGCAGCATCAAGTGGCTGGTTCAGAATATCAGCGCCCGGTCTGTGAGATGATAACAGGAGACACACGTTATGATGAATTGCACCCAATTCCAGACGTGACTTAGCCATTCCATAGAGCCAGTGAGTCGTTGTCGTTGAAGAGCTGCGACAGCCGAGGAGCAGATACCAGCAGTAAAGAATCGAGACTGTAAGGCGCTGGACTGCAGGAAGTATAACAGCACCTCTAAGACCTTGGCAAGTTCATAATCTTGCATCTTTTCGTCGTCCAAATCTTCGCGCAATCTATTCGCCACCGCATCCTCCCCGAGTTCCCGAAACAGATCGTCGAAGATGGTGTGAGACGCAGCCTTGAAAAGTCTAGGGTACACCAGCTCCCCTGCGGCAATCAGAACGGGTTGGATCCGACCAGGCGCCACATCTTTGACCAGGGGAGATGACGGGAGGTGGAACCAGAGCTTGAGAGTGACAGGCAACGCTTCTAGAGAGACAGTAGGTCTATGGTCCCTGATAATTGATCAGCCCACAATCACGCCGGGGAAAGAAACGCATACTTGAGATATGTGGCAGCGCCGAGAAAATTTTGCGCGAAAAGACCCCAGTTTGTACAGCACGGCGCAGATCCGTCTCTTGAGTCCGGAGGCAAGTCAAAGGTCTCGAAGTCCACAATGCTAGAGAAGCTGAGCATCTGCCGGAAGATGGTGTCCGTGAGCGTCATGAAGACGGGTTGCGCGCGGGTTTCCTCTAAAGCAATGAATAGCGAGATCCTTCGTAATGCAGACAAGATCAGGTTCGTCAATCCTCTGCTGGTCTGATCGATTGTTAGATAGACGAAGGCATCGCTACACGGTGGCTCACCGAAGGGAGCGAAAGAACGTTATCGACCAGAACAGAGGTCTCTTGCAAAAGGCGCGTAGCCGTAGCTTCATATAACATCAAAGTCTCATCGTCGAACAAGTACTCTTCTATCTTCAGTAGCGCAGTAAGTGCCCGGACGAGATCTATGTATAGCGTGGAGGGCTCTCGCCCAACCGGTCCAGAGTGCGCCAAAGTTATATCGAGTAGTAGATTGGCTGGCGGTAGACGAGCAGCTAGTAGCACACACTTGTCCAGTGCAATGAGAGATGCGCGCCTAACTTCCGGTTCCTCCAAGAAACAGGTGTCCAAAGGTAGATGCTCGGCGGACGAGGCAGTAGGCAAAACAGACGTAGAGTTCTCTTCCTGAAGTCCTAGAAGTGTGTATGAGTGCGTTGTGATGTTGGTGATGGTGCCGAAGGATAGCATAGACTGCAAAGGAGCGTGACTGGAGTATGAAATGATCGGCTTGAGCGATGGCGATGCGCGATTACTACTGTTTGGTGCCTTGCGAGTGAGGATACGTCGCCTTCCAAGGAGTCGAATGCCTGAGAGGTCCATGCCGAGATTGACGACGAAGGTACATAGCCGACACAGCCGATGAGCTGCGTCGAGAAGAGCTGTCGCAAACATAGCACACAAGTTGTACCAGATAGCTATCCAGGAGAAGCCGAGTAAAAGGACTCCATCGGGGTGCCAGTAGGAGATAGCCATGAGACCAGCTCTCGCTAAGAGAAGTAGCCGATAGTATCGTGGGAAGTGTAGCGGTGGTGGTTGGAGAGTAGAAGACGGTCGAAGCGCTAGAGCCTCGCGATCAACTAAACGGCACATCCGGGCCGGCATGTTGAATGGAACGGTCGGTCGAAGGCCGAGGTACGAGGTCTGAGACCGCACCTACGTCCAGCCGAGCGCGGTGCGGAAGTTTCCTGCGCGGTTTTCCTTTCGACCACCACATCGCGCGCACTCTTCGCGCGTCGGCCTCTCGCTACTTTACTCGCATTTATTTTACGCTACACTTTCTTCTTAATCATTTCTCTCAATGGCTGACGACGCTGGCGCTGCGATGCAAGGCCTCAATTTCGGTAACGGCGGGGGTGGCAACCCGGGCAACGCCGGATCGGCTACTGGCAACAATGGGGCGGGTGCCGGCGACGGCGGCCCCGGCCCTGGTAACAACGGCACTGGCGGCACTGGTGATGGCCAGCCCGCTGGCAACGCTGCTGGCACGGGCATTGGCAATGGTGGCGACTCGAACGGCGGCGGGGACGGCGGCGGCAACGGCCCCGCACCCGATCCGGAAAGCGAAGACGCTCGCATTGTGCGTCTCACCCGCGAGCTCGAAGAGGCCTTTGCGGCCCGCGCAAACAAGGCTGGCGGCTCATCCGATTTGGGCTCCATGTTCATGTCCAAGGACGACGCGGCCAATGCTCGTGCGGCCATCGCGAAGCCGACTGCTCCTCCTCCCTGCCCTATCCAGCCCGGCTTCCAAGCGGACCCTCAGGCTACAGGTGAGAGTTGCTCCTTACCCTCCCTCTCTGGTCGCTGTGGTCGACACTCCTCCTGGAGTACACGTCGGCCACAGCCCAACACATCCCCCCGCCGCCAGTGAAAACTGCGGCGAAATTTTATTTTCTGCCGATTGTTTTCGCTTCTGACCGGGTCTTGTCGGCGGCCACCGCCGCCGGCGGGCATCCGGCGAGCGACCGTACTCGTCCACGAACACGTCCTTCACACGTCTCGAACCGATTCAGCGAACTCGTCGCTGACATACACGTTGTTTAGCCATCAGCGAGACGGCACGCAAGACCATCCGTCGTCTTGGGTACTGCCCGCTCACCTCACTCGATTCGGAGGCACGTACTCGCGCTAGCCGCGGCGGCGGGCCGGCCATGGACTTGCAGCCCGACGGCTCGTTCAAGGAACGTGACCTTGACCGCAGCCGGGAGCGCTTCATAGACGAGCGCCGGTTCAACTCGGCTGCGGACACGTACGTACGTGTCCTCAAGGAGGAGGTGCTGCACACTGGTGCAGGTACCGACGAGGCCTTCAAGTCGCATTTCACGATCTGCAAGGGCTTGTTCGACTCGCACTTCTTCCACGTCGTCATGGCGTATGACCAACGTAACCGCGAGATACATGCGGCAGATCACCGTCACGATATTTCCACCCTGAACATGCGCTTGCTCGCCATCGTATCGACGGCGGCGCCTCCCGGTGGTTCTGCACCCGCTACCCCGTCTAAGCGCCATGCCGACTCTGCTCCGTCGTCGTCGCACGCGCCTCCTCGTAAGGTCGCACGGTCATCTGCACAACACACGTCGGAGACTAAGGGCCAGCGCTGCTTTCGCTGTGGCGAGTACAGCGGCCACATGCCCGTTGGTTGCCCAGCCGAGCTTACCACGGCAGGGCGCACTGCCTTCGAGCTCGCCAAGGGTTCACGTTCCCAGAATGCCCTCATCAGTCCCTCTGGTCGTACCGTCTGCTTCAACTGGGCCTCAAGTGGCTACTGTCGGTTCGGATCCTCGTGCCGCAACGAGCACATCTGCTCGATCTGCCACAACACCCAGCACGGTGCCGCCGCCTGCTCCGCTTAGTGATCCTCGTGGAGTCGTGACGCCGCTCGACGCAAACGCCATCGAGACGCTGCTGGGCAAGTTGGGGCTTCTCGGGGAGTGGCAACACGTGATCGATAGCTTGCGCTCGGGCTTCGATGCCGGTGTTGATACAAAAGTAGACCGTACATTTATCCCTAAAAATCACTCGTCAATTCAACTCGATCCCACTTTCATTGATACTTATATTGCGGCCGAAGTCGCGGCCAATCGCTTTGTGGGACCTTTCGAGCCCGACACTCTCGAGCGCATCATAGGTCCTTTCCGCACAAACCCGCTGGGGCTGGTACCAAAGCCCGGCACGGACAAACATCGTATGGTCAACGATTTATCATTTCCTCGCGACGGTGATCCCGTCCCCGCCGTCAATCTCGCTATCGACCGGAGCCAGTTCATTACCGAATGGGGCGACTTCACAAAAATGGCGCAAGCCGTCCTCGACGCGCCTCCTGGCACAATGGCTGCGACCTTCGACATCTCAGCTGCCTACCGCATAACCCCCATCCGGCCCGACCAGCAGCACGTTCTCTGTGTTACGTGGCGAGGGAAAGTTTACATCGACCGCGCCGCCTGCTTCGGTATGGCCTCAAGCTCCGGCATCTTTGGTGCTATTGCGGACATGCTCGTCGCCATATACAAAGCATCTGGATACCGTGTCGTGCTTAAATGGGTGGACGACTTTGTCGTTTTTCGACTACCCGGCGACAGTTTCAGCGAGGAGGACTTCGTTCACCTTACATCGGCCCTCGGTGTCCCCTGGTCGGTGGCCAAAACACGCTCCTTCGCGTACCGCCAGAAATATATCGGTTTCATCTGGGACCTCGTGCGCAAGACGGTCGCGATGCCAGAGGAAAAGCTCTCGGCCCTCCGTTCCCTTCTAGACGCGTGGCTTGAGCCGAAGGCTAAATTCAACGCCGGCGAGGCCGAGTCATTGCATGGGAAGGTCGTCCACGCGGCGACGATTTTCCCTCTCGTCCGCCCCTTTCTTCCCTCCATCTCGCACTTCCCGCGCGGTTTCAAGAACGGCTACACAAAGCACTCGCTCCCCGGCCCCGTGCAGAAGGACATCACATGGATCCGCGACATCCTCGAGCACGCCCCGAACGAGATATCGCTGACGAGGGAGGAGCCTCTCGATATCGGCTGGTGGGGGGATGCGAGCTCGTCGTGGGGGATCGGCGTGGTTGTGGGCTCATTCTGGGCGGCCTGGCACTGGGCCGACGGCTTCACGGTGGGACCGAAGTGCAATCGGGACATCGGTTGGGCAGAGGCGGTCGCTGTCGAGCTGGGTCTACGCATGGCCGTCCATCACGGCATTATCGGGGCGAGGCCGACCAACCGATCGCGCATACTCGTCCGGTCAGACAACGCCGGCGTCGTGGCTGTCGTGAACAAAGGCCGGTCCAAGAGTGCGCACACCAACGGCGTCCTCAAGGACATCTATCGCACCTTGGTGTCAGAGGGCATCGTCTTGTCGGCCGAGTACGTCGCCAGCCGCGACAACATTACGGACGCTCTTTCCCGGGGGGACATTCCGGCCTTCTTAGCCGCATTCCCGACCGCGACGACGCACTCGCTCTTATCGCTGCCACCTCATCTCGTTGGCTGTCTCGTCCCCTCGTCATGAAGGCCTCCGCGTGGCGCATCGACCCACCATCTGAGCCCGGTCAACCCGGAAGTCTTGTCTCTGTTACATTATCTTTAAAACCGTCGCGGTTTCGGCCCGACGTCTCGTCCGATGACCGTATCTACAAGTGGTGTGGTCCTAACACGCCACCGCTGTCTGTCCTCCCTACTCGTCTGTTTCAGTATCTACAAATGCGTGCCATACATGAAGTTCTCGCCGAAAAGACAACCTCCGGCTACGGCTCGGGTCTCCGCAAGTTCCACGTCTTTTGCGACATTTACAGTATCCCCGACGAAGCTCGGCTGCCCGCTTCGTTCGAGCTGTTAAACTCTTTCGCCCACTGGGCGTCAACCGAACCCGACCCCTCTGACCCGGAGCTCTCACGCGGTGATTGCTTCGAGCCCGTCAGCACCGGAACTGTCAAGACATACCTGTCGGCAATCTCAACATGGCACGTCATCCAAGGCTGGCCAGCCCCCTTGTCAAAGGTCAACTACGAGCGCATCAAGACATCGCTTCGTGGACTGGGGAAGCTGCAGAAGGAGCCACGCAGTCGGCCACCGAGGCCACCCGTAACTCTGCCGATGCTCGCCGCAATCAAGCGGAGCCTAGACCTTTCATCGCCATACGATGCGTGCCTCTGGGCCATCGCCACTTGTGCCTTCTGGGGCATGATGCGGTTCGGCGAAGCAACCGTCGACGCGCGCAAGGACTATAACCCCAAGAAGAAACTCGCTCGGAAACACGTCTTCTTCGGTCACGACCTCGACGGGAAGCCGTACGCGCGACTCGACCTGCCCACCGCCAAAACCGCGAAACAGGGCGAGATTCAGAAGATCTTTCTCACGGCTCAAGGAGAGTACTGCCCGCTGGCAGCGCTTCAGAATCTGGCACGAGTCGTCCCGGCTGAAGCAGACGACCCCCTCTTCTCGTGGGTGGACAGCACGGGCAGCATACGGCCCATGACGCGGAGCGCGGCTCTCAGCAGCCTCAACGAGATCACGCAACGACATGGTTGGGGGACTGCGTTCGGCCACTCATTCCGGATCGGTGGCGCTTCCTTTTACCTCGCTCAAGGCGTGAGCCCGGAGATCGTACGACTCGCCGGACGGTGGAAGTCGCTAGCGTACGAGACGTACATCCGCGCATTCGAGCAGGTCGCTTCACGGCACTTGTCCGGGTTAGGTGCGGGCCAGCAACCGTTCGTGCGACCCGCTTCGGCTCTGGTTGGGGGCGCGGCGCGGTAGAGCTGCCGCTGTATCGCCTCGCGGCTCTGCATGGGAGAGCGGCGGCTCTCCCCGCGCCGCGTCAGTGTCGGCTACGCCGACCGTGCCCAACCTCTAGGACGCAGGAAACTCTGCGAGTTGACGAGGCTGGAGCTCAGAGCAGCGCGTCTGCAGCTCGGCGCGAGACTTGCCGCCGACCACCATCTCAAGTGCCAATCATCATATGACCCATCTAGCGAAACCTTCGCCTGACCGAGGCAAATTTCCCGTCTCACAGAATTCTGCACTCGCCCTTATGCTATATTCTTCAAACCTTCAATCTGGGACAGCTCGCGCCATGGACCAAATTCAGTACTCTCGATACGAGCACAACCAACAAGACGCTAGACTTTAAACATGGAAACCACCGGTTCTCATCCGACCCTGCACGACTCAGCCCCCAGTGCAGTCGCGCACAGCTCCTTCCCACCGCGCGCGAAGCGCGTCAGGCGCGCGGCCACCTCGTACGCCGCGGGCTTCGGGACACCATTCTTGTCATGGAGCGTCCCGAAGACACCCTCTCCAAGCCAGCTCACATTGTCGCGCGTGTCCCAGCTGATGAACTCGTGGCAGTTGCTAGCAAATAGACACACCTACACCCAAAGGTCAACTCCCCACTTACACAGAACCCGAAACAAGCACTCACGTCGACGTAGTCTCCCCAGATAGCAGCCTGCATCCTCAGATCCTCCTCGCTATCCGATGTCAACGCGATATCAATCTCCGTGACGAGCGCGTTCACGCCCAGCCGCGTGAGCTCCGCGAATGTGCTCGTGAGCTCGGCCTTGCTCACGAAGTTCGTTTCTTGGACGTGGCTTTGGAAGCCCATCGCGAGACGGTCGAACGGGATCTTGGTGTGCGCTTGGATATCTTTGAGGACGGAGATCGCGCAGGCCGTTTTCGCGTCATTGCCACCTATACAACCCGGGTCCATCAGCCCCGGACCAGCGAACCCAGGACGAGGAAGTAGGGCACACCGGTGTTATAGTCGTTCAACGCCAACCTCGTCCCCGGACCCGCCGCCTCATGCGCCGCACTAAACGCCGCATACAAGAACGACAGATCCTTGACGAGCGGCACGGTCGATCCGTCCGATACGACGGTCGGCCAGACGTCCTTGTTCTGCACGCACTCGAGCGGCGTCATGCCGAACGTGACGTTATCGCCGTTCGGCTCGTTCACGACGTCCCAGGACGTGACGGCGGGGCCCATGCCGCTGATCTCGGCGCGGACGTGGGTGGGGATGATGCTGGAGACGAGGGTGTGGGCGCTGAAGTTACCGGGGAGCCAGTCCTAGCGTCGTCCACCCATCGCAAGAGCAGATCCCATCGTCAGCTCTACTGCCGAAGATCAAGAGGAGAACGAAAACGCGCACGGGAAGCTCTTGATGCCAGAACGTATTATGCCCCCTAAACGAATTCCCATGCTGCTCCGCATACTCCTGCACGGGCCTACAATCCGCGAGACTCGGCCTGCCCGGGTCCGGCTCAGTCGCATACCACTTGCACCCGTCCTCCGCGACCATATGGCCCCAGAACGTGCTGAACACCTCGCTCGTCCACGCGACGTGCGAGCGCGTGGTGTTGAGCGTCGAGCCGAAGTGGAACGGCTGGCCTTTGCGCGCGGAGACGCGGGATAGGACGCCGGATTGTTTGAGGTTGATGGGGCCGGTGTGTTGGAAGCCGTGGTCAATGAGGAGGTCGACTTGGGGCGCGGCGAGGGCGAGGGTGGAGGAGAGCACGAGCGATGCGGGTAGGACGAACATCTTGCGACTGCTGTGAACGTCGGTTGAGGCTGTCGGACATCTTTTTGAATGGATGCTGAAGCGCTGGAGTCTAGGTTCGGTGTCTCATGTGGTGAAGTCATGAGGCGCTTCTTAACCTTAGGATGGTAGAAGCTGCTGAGGTCCTGGGGAAAGAAGTGCCTATGAGCGGCTTTCATACATCGCAGAGCCGTTTGCGAAGCGCTGAAGCGAATACAATCATGCCTAAGCCCGGTAGATGCAGTAAAACTGTAGGGGCCTCAAGGCCCGGTCCACCCTAGGATCGATGAGCCGCACAGCAACGCCATCGTTGGCACACGAGCTCGCTCGTTCGCCCAGATGCATGGATAAGCTGAGCGCATACGCGTACAGCAACGAGCGTCAAGCATAGTCCACGAGACCTCAACCAATGACTCCAAATACAAGCTCACCACGGTCCGCGCGGTCGGCATGTACGTGAGCGCCATAGTATGCAGAGGTGTACTCCAACCAGCTGAGCGTGTCAGTAGTTGCAGCAGAAGATGGAAGCGCATTTCGTGAGAGAAATATCAGCTTGAGGGCCGTATGAAGTCACATATGGAGCTCAGAAGGTTGATGAGCGCTGCTTGCGGTATTGAAGCTTGTTATGGATGCAAAGAGCATGATGTGTTCAGCCATGCCTTTATCAAAGGGCGAACGATCTGATGAAGCGGAAAAGCGCTCATAGTACTTGATGCAACACCGAGATGGCCGTCCAGAATAAGCGCTAAAGTGCGTAGAGGAATACGGCTACGCGTCGCGGTACCGTGACATGCGCGCTGGCGACATACCAGCACGCAGAGGCGCGAGGGTGTAGTTTGGGCTATCGGAAGGTAAATGTGTATTGGAGACTGCCACTGGCATAGTGATTTCCACATGCACAGAGTGCGGCGGCTTGACGGCGGCAGATAGATCGCGTCGAACGCTCACAACGAGCAGCCATCCGCGGCCACCGTGACGCTCCACCCCAGCAACAGCGCGCAGCAACGATAACATATATCCATACACAGCAACTCGACAATCTGTCATAACAAAGACCGGACCCGGTAAGTATATACACGTCTCTTCCTCTCTCTCTCCCCTCAGCATGATCTTGTCTTTTGGCAAGCGCGCTTCGATCCCGCCGCATTTAATCACTCTTCTCCTTCGCAGGCGGCGGACTCGGCCCCCCGGGGAACCTCGCGTTGGGGTTAACAGGCGTAGGCGGGAACACCTGCGCGTTCGTCAACGGCGTCCCCGGCAGCCCGCCCGTGCCATACGGACTGAGCGGGCTCCGCGCGTTCTGCGGCGGACCCGTGTTCAGTCCCAGCCCGCGCGTCGAGCCCCCGCTTACACTCCGAGAGCTCATAGGCGGCGGCGGGACGTGCTGCGGTGCGTTATAGGGGCTCGCGGGGGGCGCGTAGGCGCTACTCGGCGGCGGACCCTGACTTTGACCAGCGCCGAATGCTGAACCGGGTGCGGGTGCAGTGTACGGCGACGCAGCGTTGGACGGGGGAACGTAGGGAGAGTTGATGTTGGACGGGGGCGCGTAGGGCGAGGCGGGGGACGGCGCGTAGGG